CCTGATCGTGTTTTCCGTTGCGCCGATGCTTGCTGAGACCGTGCATTACCAGTCATATCGTCAAGAATTTCGATAATTGAGCTACCCGTCGGTCGGCTATAGCCAGCTGAAATGTCACATATAATGGGGTTGCCATTGAAATAAGCTGGTTTCGAACGATCGATACTGACAGCATCTTCACGTCCATCTCGCTCAATTATGTAGAATTTCTCGTGTCACTTGATAACTTTGAATGGCCCATCGAAGGGTGATTCAAGTGGTCGACGAACGGCGTCATGAAGAATAAACACTTGTGATGTCTTCTGTAGACTGGGGTGAACGAAGACTTCAGTCGTTTGAGGTCTAACCGGAGAAGGCCTAACTGAACGCATTGTGTTTGTAAGCCCAGTCACCTAAGATGCCCTGTCGGACACTTGTTCGAAAACTGAGGGGGAAACAAATTCGCCTGGTAGGTGAAGAGTGGTCCCATAGACGAGTTCCACACGGGAAAATCCAGCATCAAATTTCAAGGCGTTACTGATTCCTAGTAGGACTAGAGGCGGAGCCTCGGTCCGCTCAGGTATGTTTGCAGCTGAAAGAGGAGCTTTCAGCTGTCGATGGAAACGCTCTACCATGCCATTCGCTTGTGGATGGTAGGCTGTCGTTCGGAATCGAGTGCAACCTGAAAGTGCAGTTAGAGAGTGAAATAATCCACACTCGAGTTGGCTCTCACTGTCGGTTGTGACGTAAGATGGACATCCAGAATTCGCGATCCACCTTTCGACGAAAACATGAGCTACTGTTTCAGCGGTAATATCTTTAATAGGTACTGTTTCTGGCCATCGTGTGAAACGATAAACACAAGTGAAAAGGTAGGTACATCCATTAGATTCCGGTAGGGGTCCTACGATATCTATATGGACGTGGTCGAAAGGCATGTCTCGGGCTAGAAAAGAGCCTAAAGGGCTTTTCATGTGTCGCGTGACTTTGCGCTTCTGATAAGCTAAGCATAACTGAGCCCACTCCTCAACGTCTTTGTTCATCCCAGGCCAGCGGAAACGTTTTGCAATAAGCCTAATGGTGGATCGTACACCTGGATGGGAGAGTTTGTGCAACGTATTGAAGACGCTGCGTCGACAGCTCTTCGGAACTATTGGGCGTGGTTGACTAGCAGAGATATCGCACAAAACTGTATCCTTGTCTGATCCAACCGGACACAGTCGCAGCTTGAGAGTTGTGGACGACAACTCATGATGCAGCTCAAGGTCTTCCTTTTGACGCTGAGCTGGTTCAACGAGATCAACGCCCTCGATATGGTTTATCGAAGCTATTCGTGGTAGTGCGTCGGCTACGGAGTTATTTGCTCCAGAAATGTGTCGGATGTTTGACGTGAACTGGGAAATGTGATCCAGCTGTCGTGACTCATGAGGGGAGTATTTGTCAGACGCCGAGCTGAGGGAAAAGGTTAACGGTTTGTGGTCCGTGAAAATAATGAAATCACTACCTTCCACCAAATGTCGAAAGTGGCATACAGAACAGTACATAGTTAGGGGTTCCCTACCAAATGTACTGGATCTTGTTTCCACGTCTTGCAGTTGCCTCCAGAAATGAGCAGAAGGTTGCCACTGGTTGTCAGTCAACTGTTGCAAAACTGCTCCAATTGCTGAGTCGGATGCATCAACAGTAATACTCAAAGGAGCATTGGGGTCGTGATGCATGAGCATGGTTGCATTTGAAATGGCTTCCTTGGCTTTAGAGGAGGTAAGTCTAACCACGTTGTCAAGTGTCACGAACTTCGTAGTCCCTCAAAGTAGATCTGTTAATGGCCTCATGGCAGAGGCACAGTTGGGGATAAACCTTGGGTAATAACTTACCGGGCCATTGGAAGTGCGGAGACGTTTCACAGTGGATAGTTTGTGATAGCCGCCACTTTATCTCTCAGAGGGCGTCAATGGTATGCCCAAGGAATCTGGGTGATTCAACTCCTATTTCACACTCCTGCAAGTTGACTGTGATGCCACTTTTTCTCAGTCTGCTGGATACAAGTTCCAAATATTTAAGGTGAGTTTCCTCATCTGGACTCGCAGTTAGACAGCCATCGATGCAGACATGAACAGAATTCAAACCACGTAAGACATCATCCATAAAGCGTTGGAATGTTTGTGCTGCATTCCGAAGACCAAATGGCATGCTCAGGAATTCAAACAAATTAAAAGGGGTAATAATGGCTGTTTTCGCGATATCTTCTGCTGCCATAGGTGTCCGGTTGTACGCTTTGACCAGATCGACTTTGGTGAAAATGTCCATTCGGCATAACGTTTCAGTCAGGTCGTAAACATGGGGTATCGGATAGCGGTCCGGAGTTGTTTTGGTGGTAAGCCTTTGGTAATCACAGGTTGGACGCCAGTCGTTGCTACCCTACTTGGGAACCATATGAAGTGGTGATGTCCAAGGAATGTTTGGCGGCCTGATAATGCCTAGTTCGAACATGTGGCCGAATTCACTCTTCGCCGTTTTTAGCTTATCGCGGGTTGGGCGGCACGCTTTAGATGCCACAGTTGGACCTGTGGTTGTGACGTGATGCATAACACTACTGGTTATACACGGAGGAGCATGCTTCGGTTGTCGCAACTCTGAAAATTTCTCCAAAACTGCCTGGTAGGGCGTTTCGCCCGATTGTTTGGTTCTAACGATAGCCAAACTCGGACCTACGCAGGTGGCGCCACCAATAGATAACTTTGTGTTGCTGTCTATCGGACGGCGAGCATCTACGAGTAAATCGTAATGGTTCAGCAAATCTATGCCAATGATGGGCATAGAAACGTCAGCCAGGAGGGAAATCTAGTGAATAGGTTCACGCAAACCTAAGTTGAGGTAGGCATATCGAATCCCGAGTGTCACGTTTGCCTTGCCGTTGGCTGCTTGGAGATAGAAGGATGGGTCGTGATGACGCCTCCTTGTCGGTGCCGGAAGAACGCTAACTTCTGCACTGGTGTCGACGAGGTAGCGAACTTTCGTCTTGATATCAGTGACGTAGAGTAGGTGGTTGTTTCCGCCGGCTGCGGTTGCCGTGAACACGTGCCCGCGTGACCGTTCCCCGAGTTTGTGCCCTTGTTAAAACTATATGTTTCCGACATTTTCTGACTTCGTCTACGTAAGTATTATGAAACCAGCACCATTTAGTATTTTCCGCCCTGTTAGGTTTGGTTTTGGGGCAAACACGCGAGTTGCTGCGATGCACTAAGACGCGTTTCTGTGAAGTGCTCTGTAAACTAGGACCTCGAGATTGTAGCAGCTGTTTAGCAGAGTTGCACAGCTTAGACACCTCCCGGCTCTCTGGTTTGCTGCAGACAGAATATACTTTGGAGACGGGTCTGCTAGAGATCGCCGATATTTTATCTGCCGAAACTGCTAGGTCATCGAGTAGGACTGAATGCAGTGTCACTAACACGGTTTGCACCAGTTGTGGTAGTTTTGAGAGAAATAGTTCTCGGAAAAGACCATCGTCAGGTGTTCGCGCACCCATAAATTCTCGGATGCTTGCGAGGACTTCAGTAGCTGAGTGGCTGCCTAGCTCCATGTTACGAAGTAATTCGTCTAGGCACTGCTGATCTGTGAGATCGCTTCTCTTCAAGGTTTCGTCCTTGAGAAGTGCACAAGGACCACTTACTTCGGGACTAAACACGTGTGCTGTAACATGCCTGTCCGATTCTCGCCATAGTGAACATATGACAGCAAGAAATCGAGAATGAGGATCTGAGACACCCTGTTCTCGAAAATCTGCCTCGGCATACAGAAACCATGTTTCTGCACTGTCTGGACAATATGGCACAAGTTGGATAGTGTTCGTAGTCTGCTTAATACCAATAAGCTTGGGAGTGTGGTCGGACAGGAGAAAGTGTAGTAAATGGATATATAAATGTTATTGAAATGAAAAATGAAATGCAATTATAAGATGGATCAGGCTCACCAATTTAATACCTGTTATTGGTCGGGATATTTGATCACGTTGGGCTCACCGCTTTGGGGTTTGTCCTGGTGCGAACTTGACAGACGCAAAAACCAATCACTAATCATTCGAACTTGTCATATACCCACGAGTATGAGACCAAGGAAGAACACAATAGCGTAGTCGGACGGAATAGTATATTTGGGAGGTTGTACCAAGATACCGATGCGTTCCAACTAACTGGCTAAAGAGTCGAATACAAGCAGTGCAGCGTGACACGACAGCGTGCCAAATGGCGAGGATGCTTGATCAAGCACCTTCAGCTTAGCGAGTCCAGTAAGATTACTAAGGTCAGCATCAATGTTGAATGTCGTCGAACCCCAGGGCAACTGATTTTGAGGAAGTGTGTGACGCTACACCGCTTTATGCAGAGCCTTAGTGAGGGGCAGACTAGAAAACTATGCACATACGTCAACTATTTGTCTGAAAGATGACTCAGGTTTTCTGAAAGTAGTTCAGAGGACAGCCAACATTATTACCTCTGAGATGCCCGGCCTAACTTACTTTTATCGACTTCAGGAGCTGGACCCCTTCTCTTTATCTTAACTCCGAGGGAGAGGAGAACAAACCATGCTAAACAGGATTCTGAGAAATGACTTCGGACTAAATCTATCTCCCCTATTCCTTCTCAGTGGGTGGGGGCACCTCGGAAAATATAAAACGGGGGATATAAAATCAAAGGACGAACGTAGTCCTTGTAGACGATTGGTTCTCGAGTCCAGTAATCAACTTCTGGAACCAAATTTGAGAAGTGCTATCCATTTAATCACCTTACTTGATCATAAGAGGACTTGAAAGGCATTAATATAGACTTTCAGTCTCTTATACTCAAACAACAAATGTGAATCCCTCTTACTCACTACAGGAACAAAAGCAAAACCAAGTCCTGAGAAATAAGTGCAAGAGTTTCTTAGCCTCCAGTCTTCCAAATTCGCACTACCAATGTCGGGAAACATCTCACTCGGCAGTCTAAAAGTCTTCAGTTATCTGTTTACCGTATGTTATGTTGTCATGACTATTAAAACAGCGCCGTTTCGACTTACAAACTGGAGGTGCAAATATGATGCTTTCACGGTCTAAACCTTCAGTACCAAAACAACGGGCTGTACCACCCCAAACAAAGAAAATCCCCACTTTACAGGAATTTATCGAAAGAAGAGATTATACTGGAGCGCTAACACTTTTGGAATTTGAACGTTGTTGCGGTAAATCCACTACGGAAACAGACCTGTGGATCGCATATTCTGCCTTTCATCTCGGAGACTACAAAAAAGCATCTGAGGAGTACAAAAAGCTGATAGGAAAACCCAACACACCACCAGAAGTCCATACATATCTGGCATGTTGCTATTTCTTTCTTGGCATGTATCAGGAAGCTCTGAAAGCTGCTAAAGATGGTCCGGTATGCAGACTGCAAATCAGACTGTTGTTCCATATAGCACATAAGTTTAACGATGAACGTGCTCTCCTTAGTCATCACAATTCTCTAGACAACTCCATTGAGGACCAGCTGTCACTGGCTTCAGTTCATAGCTTAAAGAACCACCATCAGGAAGCAATCGACATATACAAACGTATTCTACTAGACAACAGAGAATATATAGCACTTAATGTCTTCATTGCCTTGTGCTATTATAAAATCGATTACTATGATGTATCTCAGGAGGTGCTGGGGATATACTTGCAGCGGTACGCCGATAGTGCAACTGCCATTAATCTAAAGGCATGCATTAATTTCAAGTCATACAATGGCAAGGCAGCTGAAGCGGAACTAAAAGCCCTTCAAGAATTATCTACCTCATCATTTACTTATGCACAAGACCTTATAAAACACAATTTAGTTGTGTTTCGAAATGGAGAAGGCGCTCTACAGGTAATCATAAGTTTTCATTTTCAAAACGACTAAAACCGATCTCTACTTAGTGATGTTTTATGAAATACAATAAGAAACATACATGGGGCTAATAAATCAGGCTAAACAACTGACTACTGATTCACATCATTATCGACATTTTTATCACTTGATCTGAACCATCTGAGGTTTGTGTAAATTAGTAATAATGATATTAAAAATATTACTTATCTTTGCACAGATGTTTAGAATTCAGTGAAAACTCGTTACAACTATACATTTGTTTCGGAAATATAAAGAATCACATTTAACAAGCAAACATAAAAGGCTACAGGACTTAGATTAATCGTTGCAGTTCGCAGTACTGTGAGGATTTAGTATTATTTTGAGCGTATCGCTTGAACATACATTGATATTTTGTTCTTTTTTTGCGGCGTTTAAGTACTCATCCTACAAAAGCATCCGAATCTCCGCTAATATGATCAGTGTATATTTAAACTGTTAAGTTACAGGGTTATCAACCGAAAATTCATCTGAAAATTTATAGGCAGATGAGAAGGCATTCGTAGTACACACAAATACTTTTCAGTAGTATACTCACGATAAGCGAATACGTTCTATGTCAAACAAAACTAATCGGATAGAAGTGAGTGGAAAAGCCACTTGTAAACCTTGTTGGAAAGATGTAATGCATGCCTTACAGTTTTACCAAGGCCTAGAAGTGATACATACACAGCATGCGTTACTTATGTTCTGGGACTGAAAAAACCTAGTTGCATAGAAGTCAGAAAAGCGCCAAGAATTCTATATCATGTTAAGAGGAATTGCAGGGCTACGTTGAAGCTGTACAGTGTTCAGAATACTTTTAAATTTGGATCATTTACTTATAAAAATAATATGAACCTTCTCAAATTCATCTTGTTTCCCAAACTTTAGAGCAGTGAAGAAGCTAGGCAATCTATTTACGCGTTAGATTATGTCATGAAAGTAAATACATCAAGTCGACTAGTTTTCATTCTTTTCACAAGAGCTTTAGTCTTTCTTTTTCATATTTTAGAAATTACCGTGGACGTTAACACCATAATAACTTCACTGTTATTAACCATGGTAGGGCGTCTTAGCTTTTATTTGTTCTCAGTGGAGCAACCGCTCATTTAACAAAATGCAGACATAATTCTGGTAAGGTTAGAACGCACTCTGACAATTTGAGAGTACCTCCATTACGAAAAACGTACTTTCATCATCAAGAAGCGCCGGTTTCGTCTTTAGATATTATCAACTTTTTAAGTAGAATATATTTGAAAAAAACATTTTTCAGACAAAACAGTATCCTTCTTGGTTTAAAGGCAGCAAAAATTACAGCCTGAACAAAATGTTGCATATAACTGTCCATTAGTAAAATGAGATATGTTAAGGTTATGTCATAGAACTAAAAGCTTGTCATCTATAATTCTGAGCATCTCACATAGACCTACCAAGTGAACTTACAACTGCTATAATTTACACTTGAATCATAAACTTTGCTTTGGACTTATATCATTTTAATTCTAAGTGAAACTTCCAAGCAGAATTAACAAGGTTGGCTTAAATTATTCCAAGGATAAATTCATGTTAGGTCAGAATTTCGCGTTTCTGAACACCTTTAGCATAATATTCATGCTTTTTGATATCAACTTAGAATTTGTATGTTGCAAGATCAGATATCAAAACTAGAATTCACCGAATTGGTTTTTATGCGTAAGGTACAATAAGAGCATACGTAGTCCACTATTTATGTTTGGTGTGGGCAGTTTTTTTTCCTTCAGCCTACTACCAAATGATCTTATGAAGCATATTGAAAGCCTGACGAGCATTCGTCATAATGTTAGCTTAGCTTCTTCGAGTCATTTGTTGGTATACGTTATATCTTTTTTTATCATATGGCTTCACAAAAACTGGAAGTTGATGTAAAATACACTCTTAAAATGATTCTGTTTTTTAGTACAAAAAGCGTTCAATTCTAAAGAAAGTAAAAACTACTAGGTTCGCAGGATTACACCAGTTTGCTGCATTTTGTTAAACTCTTCAGTCCTTCACGCTTGAACAATAAAAAGTTATTGAACACGCACACACTAAGAAATAAAAAGTAAGAAATCTATCGAATAGTAGTGGACTTATTCAGATTGTAAAATAAAAGATGGTAAAGATGAGTCGATTCATTGGGAAACAAACTACCATTCTTCCACGATTTGTCATCCCGTTTTATTTGTTCTTGCTCCCTTACATCTTTGCTTACACTGTTATCCATCTATCCATTTGGATTTCCTTTTTATGCTGTTACAAGCTATCACAACTTGAACAGAAGCACTATAGAATGGTAAAGATAAGTATCGGAAGGAGGATGGCTTAATATTTTCAGTTAGTCTCAAAGACATATGCCAAGGCACTGTAATAAAACACAACTGTCTGACTACGTAGACAAGCCTAAAGAAATGACAGCGTAATTGTCGGCAGAAAAGCTGTAATAAATACCACATCCAAAGAATCGAAATCATTTATGTAAAAGTAAGATCATTGAAGAGGTAAAAACCAGCAGAAAACTTAAGGTATGTCATATCTGACTGCATTAACTAACTAACTTGTTTTAAAACAAGTAAAGCAGGTGAAGAGGTGAACAGACACACAAAATTAACGTAGAACCTCGAACACAGTTGCATTGCTGCACCTCACAGTAGCACGCAAAGAGATCGATAGAAAAAGTGACATCAAAAAAAGATAAAGCAGTGTGAGAAAATCAACAGTCTGAAGATGAAGGCTAGTACGAGTGTCCAGGCTTCAGACGTCAACGAGTGAATATATTTGTACTGCTGTGACTGATTTTCAGTCATGTCACCAAGAGTCCTCAACCACTGATTCCCTTCATTTCGTGGACCCCAGCCAGGTAGTCTACGTCTCCCAACACAGCTCAGACTAACAATCAGAGACTTCATCGACTGGTGCCACGTCTTGGTCAGGCCACTCTAGAGCCTCCTCCAACTTAATCTAACTTCCCCCAGCATAGCACGTCGAGGTAGGTGGTGACTTGGCATGCTCAGCATAAGTCCAAGTCATCTCAGTCAGCTAGGCTTCACAACCTCATCAATTGACTTGCCTAGTGCCATTCTTATGATTATAACAAGGCTCACACGGTGATTCCACTAAAAGTGAGCAGTACTACAGAGATATATGTTGTCGAAAACCTGCAACAGCTTCATGTCCTCTGCTTTCAACAGCTATGTCTCAGCCATATAACAGGACAAAACGGACTACGGCAAAGTATACTTGTTCTTTGATAGGTAGCCAGACATATCGCCGGCGCCAAAGATAACGCAAGTGGGCAAATGTCAAACGGAGCTTCTGCATTTAAGTTGAGATGTTGTCAGCAACTAGCCCGCTCGGGCTGATGCAACTCTGCAAATAAGCGAAGTGACCGGCACATTCTACCTTTTCACTCCTCACTATTAAACTAGGAGCAGTTGCAGACCAGTCATGCCTGGGACATCAACTTGCACTTGATATGGGCGAAACACATGGCAGCCAAACGGACTCAGATTTCTGTCGGATGTGTTCAGAAGACCCTGGGTTTTGTCAGCTTCTTCATCTAGCAAGACAACAGCATCTGTACACTCCAAGTAAACTGGATGACTTCCAGGGAGTAGGTCAGTCCCTGTGAAGTCGGACGTACCTAAGATTATGTCCACTAGTACGTCTGTGACACTGGAATCCTTGGTAAAAACCACTAGTTGTCTTCAATTCATAAGGTAACTCTCCATAAGCCCTGAAACGGCTGCATAAGTTTAAATAGGAAGCTTTAATTAGCATAATATGCTTTCGTGATACTCCCCTCACAGTCAGACACTGTCACAACATCTCACGGACCACAGTGTCAAATGCCGCCTTTCAGTTAAAAAATATGGCAAGTATCGGCCGCCGGTAGACATACCTGTGTTCCAGGACCTGTCAGAGGGTGAAAATATGATAGACGTACCATTATCCATGCTTGAAACCTACCTGGTTTTCTGTTCTCGAGCTCCAGTTAGGCATCAGATAACTATGGATCCTAGGATGCTGGACACAATATTAGTCAAGATAATTCCCCTGTGGCTGCCACAAGATTTCTCCCTCATAAAGTCAGATGATTAGACGAGTAAACCAGTCTTATAACACTACCTCTGGTTCCCATACACTACCTAGTACCTGCATAACTCTGATCGGCAGCTTCCTACCTCCATCCTCTAAAATTTCGTGTGGCAAACTGTCAGGTCCTGCCGTTTCGCATCGTTTTAGGTTCAATACAGCCTTCTCAATTTCAAGAAGAGTTGGACGACTGATATCTGCCTCCCATTAACGTTCATACTGGATGTTAGGCAACTAGAGGGTTGCTGGGGGCCAGTTGAACTGTGATTCGTAGTGTTCTGCTCAACGTTCTGACCACATGTTCTAGGAGGTTATCACCATCCCATACTTCTCTATGTTGGTCTTCTTCTTGCCTGTATGCGTAATAAACTTAAATGGTTGTTGGATTTTACCTGATGCTGATGCCTTTTGTATCTCTCTCTCTCTCGTTTGCCACCTACCACTGATCTCAATCATTACGGACATTCTTGACCGACTAACGTTTAAGTTGCTTTCGCCTTTCATAGTGGTCAGAGCTAGCTGGGATCACTTTTCTTGCATCAATCAATTCGTATAATGTTGAGGAAATCCACCGACGTTTGCTAACCTTGGGGTGTAGATTACTAACTGTCTTTACCGCTAGCTATAACAAACCTAAAATCACTCCAGATTTCCTCAGGATGAGCACCACTGTCACATTCAGATAAACGCTTCGCTAACTTCTCCCTAAATACTCACTTAGGATCTTCATCTTCCAATAAAGGATAGAAAGGCTTTACCATAGCCTGTTTCCTGCGACCAGTAAAGGGCAGACATATGCGAGCCTGTACTAGCACGTGAACTGAGTCCAAACTGGCAGTCCAGAAAGAGCGGCAATCCTTCCTAAAGATGGCTCATAGTAATGTGATCTATCTGTTGTTATCATTGGTTTGAAGTAGACAGATGTTATATGAGGCGATGTCTTTCATTATGTTTAGAGTTAGTGCTTAGCAGAAACACGTGATCGTCGGAACAAACTTGCAACAGACCATCACCGTTGTCGGTTCGTTGGCATGGGATTCCGTAAACGTCACCAAGATGATTTTCGATTGGCTCAGCTTCCCTGCATAAGCGCTAAAGTCACTTGCCATTATGACTTCATATGAACGTTTTGCTTTCTGTAGCAAAGCTGAGTTTTTCATAGAACTCATCTTTCGCACCATCCGAACTACGGTTGGTGGGTGAGTACACGCAGATAAGAAATATGCATCGCCTACTTTCATTGTCCCTCCTAGTCCTTGCAGATCCATCTAATCAAACAGCACATCGACGACTGTTTACTGGAATCCAGTTGAGAAGCGCACTTCCAGCGCTACAACCCAATGGTATGCCTACACCAGCGAGTCCACAAAATCTAGCCATTGGGTATCCGGATTCTCCTAAAATGAATTTTGAAGATTCTCTACTATGGGCAGGTGAGGTCAATTTAATAACCACTTTAAAGTCCTATGTATGTCTCAGAGACACAGCATACGGCCTTGACTCGAGATCCCGGAGGAAGATACTTGTTATCGAATTTGACAGAGTCTGGACGTTGAAAGCTCCTACATGGAATTTATGACGGAGTCTTGGGAGACCAGGAATCAGTTTTCGATGACTTCGATCATTGGAAATGGTCTCAGAGTAAGAGGTTGGGAAAGGTGTAAGAGGCTTAATACCAGTATCAGGAAGTGAAGGCAAAGTAGGAGAGAGAGAGAGAGAGAGTTGAGGATGATTATGTTTGATTGGGTTTTGTCAACAACTGGAAGTGTGCAATTAGTTGACACTACCTAGTTGTCCACATCGTGGAAGACGATCTTCTTAAGGTACCTGGAAGAGATTTGTATGAGCTTAGAGCCCATAAGACATTCACTTGAGGTCGGTTACACACATCCTTTTGAAAACTGTTGGTGTAAGACTTGATTGTTCGAACATTGGATGCTGAACACCCATACCGTCGATATTGGAAAACCATGGGGCAGGAACGGGCATGCTATTTTGTGGCCAACCCTATCTACTCTGCCTCCGTTCCCATAGGGAAGGCAGCATCACCGTGGAGCTGGTGGTCATCCAAGGGAAACACCCATCCAGCCAGTAGCCCGACGTCACCCTCGTCATAGTGTAGTAATTTACACTACAACGGTGACTGTTTTTTGTTTGATCACTATCGAACAGACGTTTGTTGCAAGGTAGGACCTAGGGAGGGCAAGCGTTACAACCAGTGTAGCCTGCTGGGTCATTGTGATATACAAGACCGATCACCATGTCAGGGTAGCAGCTCTCTACTGAATGTAGGTTAATTTGTGATCAATGCAATCGCTAAGTAATATAGGCTATAAGCTAACATATAGATTCAGAAAAAGTAGATGCTTAATGCTTTGCTGCCTTCGTAACACAATTAAAGCAACATGAATCCTACGTTCTTCACCCATCCACCTTCCATTAGGTCAACACGAATTTTATGCTCTCTTAAAAAAATCGCTTTTGAGATGGACTTGGTAATCAACTCCCTTCGAAACCGTCACTAGCTCATACCCTGAAAGATTCTTTTAAACATACTAATTTCGGTTTGCATAAGGTAGTTATTCCTAAAGGAAGTGTGATCACATTTACTAGCTCTGTAACCTTTCTATTATGCATATGGCAGAAGACAGCGCTTTGAACTCACCGAATGTTGTAAACCTGATTTATTATAGCTCTATTTCAATACGCAAAAGAAACTGAATACATGAAAGATGCTCAAATATACCTATACTTCTTTACAAACTTAAGTACTGCCTTATTAGTTAACCCACGTGTCTGCCAGAGACGTATTGCTGTTAAATGACAATGTTTTCATTGATACTTAATCCACCTTACTGATTTTTATCATTTCAGGTATTACCCCCACTAATAGACGTTTTGCCGGAAGCAAGACTAAATCTCATAATCTTCCACTTGAAAAATGATGAACTACAGGAAGCCTATGAATTAACTAAAGAAATTGACCCGAGCACACCACAAGAATACATATTAAAAGGAGTTGTGAATGCTATCCTGGGTCAAGAACATGGATCTCGCGAACACTTAAAAATGGCTCAACAATACTTCCAGTTGGTAGGAGGATCAGCTAGCGAATGCGATACAATATCTGGAAGACAATGCATGTCTTCTTGTTTTTTCCTTCTTCGTCAGTTCGATGATGTTCTTATTTACTTAAACTCAATAAAAAGCTACTTCTACAATGATGACATATTTAACTTTAATTATGCTCAAGCCAAAGCAGCTGTAGGAGCATATAAGGAAGCACAGGAAGTATTCTTACTTATCCAATCAGAACGTCTGCGATCAGAATACGCTTACTTAAGTTGGCTAGCAAGGTGTTACATCATGACTAAACAAGCACGTTCAGCCTGGGAACTTTACTTGAAAATGGAGACTTCTGCAGAATCTTTCAGTTTGCTACAATTAATTGCTAATGATTGTTACAAAATGGCACAGTTTTATTATGCTGCTAAAGCATTTGATGTATTAGAGAGGTTAGATCAAAATCCAGAGTACTGGGAGGGCAAACGTGGAGCATGCGTCGGTGTTTTTCAGCTTATTATAGACGGTCAGGAACCTAAAGAAAGGCTTCGAGAAGTGATCCAAATTTTACGGAATACGAATAACCCGCAAACGGAATATTTCATACGCATAATGAAGAAATGGGCAAAAGAAAACAAGGTTGCTGTGTAATGACAATGACTGACTGTTAAATCGTTGTATTTAATTTATGAATGCCAAAAGACGAAAATATCACACAAATGGTAAATAGCAAGTGTTTTTCTGTATGACCAAAAACAAAAAATCCCCTAAAATTAACACGTTTCCTACAATATACTGTTCTTAGTTGCACATTACTTTACCCGAAGATCGTTACCTTTCATTTAATGACTAAAGTTAAATACAGTCTCATGAACTAATTGGGGTTATAAAACCTTCCTAATTTAACCAAAATGAAATCGCCTTATAGTTAGGCCAATAAAAATAATAATTCGGATAGTAGAAAGAAATCTACATTTCTGCGTACAGGTTACTTTTTGAAGTGTTGACAGTTTGATAAATTATATTTCCATTTAATGATAAGATGAACAGTGAATGGGAACGAGTCACAGAAAGACAAAATCAACATAGAACTTCACATGGAAGGGAATGAGTTTAAGTTGTCACGGTTCACAGTAGCATTCAAAGAACAAGCGGATAAAAAAGACTGATATCAAAGTAGACAAAGGTGTAATAATTCGAAATTGAAGGTTATTGAAAATCTTTAAGCTTTAGAAGATGTCAAAAGGTGGATATATCAGCGCCGTTGAGGCCAATCTTAAGACATGACACCAAGGGTCTGTAACCATCTACGCGTGGTATCTCCAGGACTCCAGTCAGGCGGTCTACAGGGATTAGAGCAGCAGTCAAAGACATCATGAACTGATGCCACGTCTTAGTCTGGCCACCCTGAGCCTTCTTCCGACCCGATTCTGCCTAGACTAACATTGGGCGTTGAGGTACGGGGTGGATCAACATGCGTAACACACGTCAGTTAATGAACGTTCATAATCTCATCGACTGACTTGTCTGTTATGTCCAGTATCCTACACCTAAGCTCGATATTGCCCTCAAGGTGATTGCACCATAGGTGAGCGATGCTACGAAGACACCTATGTTAAAAAGCCTGTAATCTCTTCACATTTTTTCTTAGCGGCCATGTCTCAGCCAAATAATAGGATAGAGAGGGCTGTTACATTGTACTTGTCCTTTAATAGGTTGTCGGATATCTCACCTGTGCTATGTGTTGGCAAGTGTCAAGCTGACCTTCTGTATTCTACCTGAAATTTTGCAGCAACCAACTCAGGCTGATGCAACTTCTCAAGTAAGTGAAGCAGTCAACGTATTCAACCGTTTCACAAGTTAAAGATAGTCAATTTAAAACTGTAACAGACCGAAATAGAACATTGCAGTGAGGTGCATTAGTTCAATGTGCTGATTTTCGAAACCAATACCACGACCATGTATTCTACAAAAAAAAGGATCAAATAGTTACTTCACCACTTTTTGAAGGAGCTCAAAGTCAGAAACTGATCGGCAACATCAAGCATAAACTATTGGAAATAACATAAAAGCCAAGGAAGACAAGACATAAATCTGTGTAAAAATTTATTTACAAATGTACCGTATTATATAATGAAGTTCACAAATGAGTTTACTGTTTCAAATGTGATTTAACAAGTTCATCGATTCTGTGCAGATCTTTCAAGGAATACTGTGCACTTCCGCGAGGAAGAGGTTTACTCTGCAAAGAGAAAAAGTACATATTTTTTATATAAAAATATCTAAAATTACATGCACCAGTTTGACTTTTATTTATCCCCTTCACTTTAACAGAACAGCTTTAATATTTTTAAACGAAATAATTTTATACTGAGCTTAATCCCTAGAAATCTCCATGATTTGTTTAGTTCCTCTGTATTTGCAAATTTATGTGTATTAAAGTTTATAAGTTTTGTTCTAATTTAAATAGTGATGAGTGATGCAATAGATCATGGCCTCCTAGATAATACATATCTATACTGTACATCATATACATAAGTATGACCCTATATAATGTGAGGAAAATGCACTATACACGAAGTATGTGATACATTTACAGTATTAAATCTGAACAGTAAGGCGATAGCATAGTGGTTTCCAGATCCTCTCATATTTTTGGCACCACTGAACAGTTATGTGTTTGGTCTGTTGTAATTTAGTGAGAATTTTAAAACAAAATAAACAATTGGTGAACTGTAGAACATACGGTTTCTTACCTGAGAAGGGTCAGATTTCCATCCAATAAAGAATAACAGCCTGTAAGTAGCTGGAATACAACGTTCATTTTTTTCTCCCCCTGTACGAGTTACACTAAATTTCTCTGAAACAGGAAGAATAATCTAAAATGATCAACTAGAAATTCGCTAGGTGAGAAACTCCAAGTGCAGTCAGTAACATTCATACAATGGATACAAATAAAAAAATCAAAGTAGAAAACAGTTTTCGAAGATGTGTTTCATCATTTGATTTTATCCAGAAGGCTACTGGATACCAGTGAGTATTAGATTATCATTATTATTCCCTTGGGTCCCTAGTGGAACATAGGGCCTCAGTAGCACGCCTCCATTGCACTCTCTTCTCTGCAGTCTTTTCAACCTAAATCCACGACTGCCCACACGCTTTCATTTCTTCCTCACATGATCTCCTTCATGTCAGCCTCGCCTCGAACGCCCAACTCGTCGTTTCCCATTTGGATTCCACTCGATGGCCTGGCTTGTGACCCTCTCAAAGTATGCCCAATCCATCTCCACTTCCTTCTGCATATATGTTCAGCGATAGGTTCTTGGTTGGTTCGTTGCCAGCCAGAGTTCCTTGTTGCTTATTCTTTCTGGCCATCTGATCTTCAGTATCGAGCCAGCGTAGGCAGCTGCTGATGAATGTCTGTAATTTGTTGGAAGTGCTTTTTGTGACACGCCAAGTTTCTGAACCATAAAGCAGCACTGACCTGACATTCGTGTTGAAAATCCGGATCTTGTTCCACATGCTGAGTGCAGCTGATCTCCATACTGGTTTCAGACTAATGAAAGCCTGTCTTGCTTTTCCGATCATGGCTTTGACGTCCTCGTCTGTGCCGCCTCTAGCTGAAACGATGCTGCCTAGGTAGGTAGATGAGAGAGACAACTTCCCTCAGATTCCTCCTGTTGATGGTGATCGGTGCTTGCTGCTATTGATTGGGTATCTTCATCACTTGTGTCTTTTCTACATTCACTTGAAGTCCCGTCTTCGTTGTCTCTTCTGTCACCTTGTTAGTTTTCCTGTCTAGATCTTCGAGTTTAGGCTACAAGACATAAAACATAAATCATCATCGTTGGCGAAATCCAAATCTTCTTCTGGGGTCTTTTCATCAGTCAAACAGCGTATGCCCACCTTCTCGCACCTCACGGTGTGCTGCATGATCCAGTCGACCACAATCAGGAAGATCATTGGTGGTAGTAGGCGGTAGTCTTGTCTTACTCCTGTCCCTGCCTTCACTTCAAAGGAGTCTCTGAGCTTTCCACTGTGGACCACTTGGCATGTGAGGTTTTCATATAGCTGTTGAATGAGGTTGATAAAGGTTTATGGCACTTGTGGTGGATAGCAGCATGATTCCTCACCAGTTCTTGTAAAGACTTAGGTCTCCCTTCTTTAGAAGTTTGACAAGGTAGACCTTCTTCCAATCAATAGGCAGGTACCTCCTCTACCTTTCAACCCTTCTACAGTAGTGGTGTGAGCATGTCCGCCGTTGTCTCTGCGCCTGTTTTCAGTGCTTCCTGCTTCTCCTGATTTCAGCAACTTTATGGCATTCAGGACTTCACTTCTACTTTTGTCGGAAGGCTTATGTTCACTGGTAATTCTGTGGCCGCTGGTGGTATTTCTGTGCGAGTTGCAGGTGGTGGTCGATTCAAGAGATTTTGAAGTGGTCAGCCCGTCGTTTCCTTTGTTCCTCCTCTTTGGTAACTAGCTTTCCTTCACTATCTGTCATTGGTTTCATCTGCGTTGATCTCTTCCCTCCCAAATAGTTACCTGGTTATTCGATATAATGTTGTTAGGTCTCTGTCCCTATTACCTGCAGCCTGTTCTGCTTCACTTGCAAGTGTGTCGTAGAAGTATCTTTTGTCTTCGCATGCACTCTTCGTCACTTTTTTGTCTAGTGCTTTATACGTTTTATACGTTGTAATCAGTTTCTCTTTCGTTATTCATCCCTGCACTGGTTCGTCTTCTGCTTCACCATCCTCCTCTCCCTGCTCTATCAGCTTCCATGTGTCCATCCAGATCCACTCCTTGTCTTCTCTCTTCTTTCTTCCTAACACGGTTATGCAAGTTTCCTTCCACATAGCTTTCACACAGTTCCAGTGTTCTTCCACACAGGTGACCTTGGAGATGTTGCTCAATGTCTCCCATTTCGTCCTGATGACTGACTGACGAGCGTAAATGCCATTTGTAGTTTCGTCCTTCACTTTCTGTTCTGCGTGTTGAACTTGAACCATGGTCCACCATCAACAACTTCTTTGAAGGCTTTCAAATTGATTTGGAAGGTAGATTCTTTGCACTGGATAGTGAATGGTGTGAACCTAAATCTCCTGCCCTTCTTCATCTGACCTTGTGTCCAGTAGGCTGACTGCGTCTCCACTTTCTTCACATTGAGATGAAGTCGATCTGATTTTTAGCGTAGTGTGTCCATCTGGTGTCTAGTGAAATCAAACCCATGTCGCTTTGTGAATATCCTTGTGTTTGTAAACACTACTTCCAATCACCAAGTCATTAAATGCGCAGAAGTCTGCAAACAGTTCTCCATTCTCATTCATTTCACTGAGCACTTCTCGGCCCATGATTGGTTCTCTTCCTGTGTTGTCCGCTCCCAGTTTGGCATTCATTTCGCCCATTAGAATTTCGATGTTGCCAACTGGAGTCCTGTCTAGTACTGATTGAGGTTGTCTGTAGAGTTCCTCCTTCTCTTCATCTGCATTATTTGTAGGTGCATAGCATTGAATGATTGTGACTTTCCTTCCTTTTGAATGGAATTTTGCTGTCATAATCCTGATCGTGGAGATTAGTGGTTCCCACTGTATGAGAGCCTTCGATGCTGTTCGGGACATCATGATAGCCACTCCAAAACTCAGTGTGCTGGTGGATATCGTCTGGGTGACATTATTGGAGTAGATTATTGATTCTCCAGTTGACAGTTTGGTGAGTCCACTTCCATTCCATCTACTTTTGTAGATTCCCAGCACTTCTGTGCCATATCTTCTCATTTCTTTGCAATCTGGGCAGCCTTATGAGGTACAAACATGGTGCAGACATTCCACGTCCTCATGTTTACTTTTGCTTTCATCAAGAGAAGAAAGGACACATCGGCCGACTGGTTTCCCAAGGGCTTTCACCGAGCGGCGTCACTTCGCCACTCCAATTCCAGCGAGGAATAAGTTTAATTTTATGTTTTATATTTTCTTTGTGCTTTGAAGTTCCTTTAGCGACTGGATTGGTTTTATGGGGTGGGGTTGCTAGCCCTATGCCCAACTTTCCCTCTTTACCCGGGCTTAGGACCGGCTAGTAACTAGTGAACTAGTTAACCAGGGGAGGTTAGTGAGTATTAGATAGATTGCTTTATTCCCTTATGGGATTCATCACTGAACTCATTTAGTGCTCTTCTGATCAAATCTAGAAACTTCAAGCGGTATGTATTCACTTCGTGTCAGAAAACTGACTACTTACAGAAACATTGGGGAGTCGATTTCAACCAAATAAGATTAAGGTGATAAAATAAGGCGTCTAAGATTTGACTTCATAAGTGTTCAGATGTAAACTGGGCTGAATATTCCTGGTTTATACTGGCTGTTATCAAGTGACCCTAGTTTCTTTTAAACATATATTAAGCAAATTATGAAACTCTAATATTATTACCATCATAAATTGCTGAGGCGGCGAGCAGGACATCTCGATTGAGGTGAAGAGGTCTATGTACAACAGCATTTGATTCACCCATACATCTCAAATCATCCATAAGTGTAAACATATTGGGATAATGAATTACACTTTCATCTACATCCTACAAAATATAGAGAAAAAAAACAGTGTACAGCGGACTTAGAGAGTAAAAAGTTCTGTGTATTCCTAGCATATCTTACTAAATAATTTATAATGATAGACAAGAAAAAGTTGAAAGTATTTTCTAAATGATGCCAGGTTCTGAGTTGTCTATCACGTGATTTTGAGTACACTCTTGCGGATATTTGGAATTTATTTTACTAGTATCAAGAGCAGACATATTTTATAACTAATCTGTATACAAATCTAGATGGTCATTAGAAGAATAATGACCCGAGCAGTGGAATATACTCTAGTAAGCTAACGGACAACAAAAAGATGATCATATACAATAAAACCTCAAAAGACAATTCCCGGCTAAAACTGTGAGGCTGAATTCCCATCCCGCCATCAATGGATAGTCGAAGTGTGCTATTTATTTTAGTATGTGATTATGAAACATGACCATATTAGCGAGGTAATACAAGAAGGCTACTGGCACTTGTGACCAATGCCCGGACAAAAGTCGATTGGCTGAGACGGCTGATTTCTAGTATGGACTGCTGGATAAACTGTATATTTACATACCAGAATTTCGACAGGTAACAGAACTGGCCTTCGCAGATACCTGGTAACCTTTTTCAAAATCGGCACTGGTGAAGTGATGTGTTCGCTTACTACTAACTCATGGTCTTATTACTCAATACTAACCTTTTTTTTATAACCTCCTTCGTGGAACTGTCTATAGCATTTCATTTTCCTTATTGATTCTCATTCACCGTAGTGTTAATAAGTAAGACAAGGTGAAATGTTGTTGTACCTGCAAATTTTTAAGTTATCCTAGCCGGTTAGACGACTGTTTAGGACGTGATGATTTACAGCGTTTTCGTCTCCTTTACGGTGCTGATCGATGTAGGGTATTCGAGATCAATTATCAGGGGAATGAAGTTCTAACTCAATACAAGCACGGTAAGAAAAATATTTTAGTTCAGAGCAAACGTTTAAGTAGTGCAAAAACAACCAATTTTCCTTGACTACCTTCAAGATTTTTTAACTTAAACTTAAGCGGATGTTTTAAAGGAATGAGTCAGGGAATATATGAAGTTTGAAAGAAAGTAGAAGCATCTTCATTGTTATGAATGAATGAAACTCATGAGTAATGCAGCAAGGTTTTCTGATATTGCTTGTTCATAAACACTCGAATTCTCGGCCTTCGTATCAAGTAGATGAAGTAAAACTAGGACTAAGGATATAATAAGAGTTAAACAAAAAACATATTCACCTCTGCATAAGATTAGGTCTAAAGGGTATAGGACACAGTGTATATAAAATAGACTAACCTAATATTGAATTACATTCTTCCACAGTGCTTAAATTCTATGCTTTCATTGAAAACAGATATATTAGCAAGGAACATCTCAGTGACTTAATCCTAAGAGCAATAAATATAAACCCAAGTTTGGTGGGAATATCAGAGTGGATAACGATTTTAAGCTTCCTTATCATTGGAGACGGAAAATTCTAGGGCAAGGTAAAGTGCACAACTTTTAGGGTAGACGATCTCTAGCATTTCTTCCCCAGATCAAAAAGGTAACCGAGGTGGCATGTCCTCGTTCAAACATAACTACAACTTCGCCATATACTATGACGGTAGTTGTTTTCAGTTATGCTACCATTCAGTTAATTGGTATTCTTGGACCTCAGGGAATAATCATTAAATCCAAAACAACTAACTGGCTTACTGACATACGCAAACTTCCATAGCCCCACCTGTTATCTAAACCCGCTTTGTTGTCAACTCTAACGGTAAAACACTGTGACTGCTTACTGTTATTGTGAAAAGTCTTAACCAATATAAGTCGATCGACTAAGTTAGCGGAGTTGTGGATCATTGATCTAAACAGTGGGTCACGAGTACAAAATTAGCCCCATGTACCAAAAGTTTAGACAGGTAGGTAGTACTATTATCCCTCACACCATAGGTATCGCTAATTGCTTATTATAGAAACATGCATGCAGCTGCTGGGTGCATTTCTATTCTACTTTAGTCTAAGTGTCATTCTCTTTTCGTTTCCTTCAGAATCAATCGGTATGAGACTAGTTGACTGATAATTAAAATACTATTTGACCATCTCGTGTGTCTGATGAAATTGGCTGTCATTCGAGACTTACTGAAACTGTCTGAAAGATTGTATTACCATTCTTGAATTGAAAATCACCAGGAATATGTAAATTAAAGGTGAAAAAACTACCTGACTTTAACTAATATTCACATTTATTTGAAGACAGTAGTTATCGTGCCCCAGTGGCTTAGCGGATAACGCTCTGGCGTTCGAAGCGAAGGAAACCGGGCTCAAGCCTCAGTGGGAACAACATCACTCACTGGGGTGCAGGTACATCCAGCTGACGAGTCCCGAATAGGACGAAGCGCGCGTCTTGGATTGCTCTGCTAGCCACCAAGATCAATATGAGAATGAGTAGTAATTTACTAGTTTTCCCAACCAGTACTTACCCCGTCGGGTATTATCACCCACCCTTACACAGATGTTGCTCATTCTGCAGTACACGAACATTAACAATGTTGATAAGTTCTCGCAGTCATATCTTACTGTTTTTCGTAAAGATAACGAGCAAAGTATAAGATGATTAGGAAATACGTTTTCTTCGACCAGAAACCAACCGTAACTCATCAAATATTCACAGGTTCCAAACTAGGCAATGAATCACACCTATTGTGCGAGAACTCAATTTACGATGTTACCTGCCAACTGAAATTTCTATAGGGGAAACACGATTGGAACTCGTGATCCGCTTGATCGAACGTCAACTAACTAGACTCATGAGCTACAGCTCTACAGGCACAAAACAGACAGATGAAACAATGTGGGAGTTTGCAATAGAATTTGAAGGCTCAAGTGATACATTATAAGGTATCATCGAGGAAAAACAGCAGAAGTAGGAATTCACTAAAATAAGCAGCAGTGGTTTAACAGGAGAGAATAAGAAACAAAAGCTAATGAGATATCCAGTATTTTGAAAATGATAGGTGACTATATATGAAACACTGTATTTAATTACGCGTCACTTCGCTGACAGTTTTCAACCTGTGATTCCTATAACCTAGACAGTGCTAGTTAAGCAGTCTAAATAACACAAACTATCGATCACAAACTTAATACATTAATGCTACGTCTTGGTCTAGATCGCTTATCGAGTTAGGTGGTAGTTCACCATGTGAAACATATATCAAAGCTACCACAGTCGGTGAAGGTTCACAACCTAATGAACCAACTTGTATTCCTTACCTAGTAATTTACACCAAATTTCGACGTTGCTCACGTAATGGTTTCACTATACGCAGACATCCATGGTGGAGAAACCGTAGTCTTTTCATATTTTCTACTTTCAACAGACATACGTCACATACGTGCAATAGAACATAGGGGGACTGCGGAGCAGTGTGCTCATCGCCGGATAGGTAGTTGGATGCATCAGCAGCACCAGAGAACATGTAATTTGGCAAATGTCGAATAGATCTTATAGCAATCAGGTGATGCAACTTCCCAAGTAAGTGAAGTGGTCAGTCCATTCTAGCGCTTTACACTCTATCCATAAAATTAAGTACTGGTAGTGGAAATATAACAAACACACCGGTACAATAGATGACTGATTCAAATGATAAATGTGAAACAGATAGCTCATACCTGCTCATCTTACTAATCACAACAACTGCCGCTGAAGTACAGACTATCATTTCATATTTAATCTTCCCAATGTAACGTCTATGTTAACCCAATGTGTGTATATGTCTTTACAATTCAGCTGTTTAATATCTTCGTTGTTTCTTCAAAAATTTATCTCCACTATCAAATCAAAACGCAGAACGCATACAATTAAAATTAGTCTCTTACCAATGTGATTAAATTAAATCCAGCACATTGTAATAAATCCGCCATATCAACACTGTCAACAAACGGACTAATATGCGATGAAATACCACCAAGCCTTTCTAATTCAGCCAGCTGTAAAGACACACGCAGTTCATACAGCGTATCAATTGCCGGCATAACACCTAAAAAGCATCCATCATTCCGTAGACATGTTAATATCTTGGGTAATATTTTTTCGTTTTGTTAGATAAAAACAAACAGAGAATAACATAAAGTCATGATGAGAAAAACGCTGATAAGCAAAAGAAGATATTACTAAATACACCGTAAGGACAGGAAAAATAAACAGAACTCCTAAACTGTAACTTTTTTTACAGCAGATACCTTGGAAGGTTGGGTTCTGCAGTATAACTGTGGTTACAGAAGTATGTCAAGAAAAAACTGTGTGACTGGACCCAAATACAGCATTAGTATATGAAGTTACTAACTACTGGCGTCAGTCATGTAAGCTACTTTGTCGGGGGTTGTAAGAAATTAAGAATCAGTGATTAAGGAACCCATGTGGTGTAGCTAGAAACTAATCACAATGGTGCAACTACATTCACCCTCTACATTCTTAAAAATCTATAACATCTTAATACTCAATATTTGTTCGTCCTCTCATGAAGATAAAGCCGCTTTTCTGACGCAACAGATGCTGAATATTGACTTTAACATCGGTGAACCATCTTCCAACATCCTAAAAGGTGGGACTTTGAACAGTTTAGGTAGAATATTCTTTGCAGGTACTGTTCTCCAGATACATAGTTTTCTAACAATTTAAGGGACACGTTGTTGCATCGGATCACTTTCAAATGTGCCTGCAACAATTCCCTTGTTCCTACAGAGCTACATGCATTGATCCTTTAACCCACCTTTTATTCAAGAATGCTACTCAATATGGTTGCGAAGAAGTGGCACTGGATTTGTGTGGTAACTTAGCACCCTCCGGATACTGGACACTTGATTTCAGTATATTCAAAGTTATCTAAAGTGAAAAACGATTTGCCAAAAGCCCTTGGTGTTCACCTACTTTGTACAACTGAAGTTCCAACGAACCAGATGGGAAATCTAAAGCTATGCATACGAAACAGACGTGTCCGATCAATTCTCCTTAAACAGCTTCGATCTTTAGCATCTTGAACCGCATTTTGTTTCCCTTCCTCAAACTATATTTGATTCTTAATATAAACTCTTAACTGTTTCTTTGTTCTTTTAACGAACTGAATTATGATACGTTAGGCAAGTCACTGTCCAACTTTTATTAAATTTTCGTTGTGATTCCCTAATCTAAGCAATTATGGAGTTATGGCGACCTATTTCGTTAATTAAAAAGTCATTTAAACATACTGACCACAATCAACATATCCCAAAAGGAAAATTGTCAAAAATCGCTGGGTTTCGTGAATCAAATCATCGAGCAGGATCACTTGTGTTTTTCTCATTTCTTTTCTGTTCACTAATAACTAACTTGTGCATTTTTATATTGTTTCACCCTTTCGATAGTCTTTTCTCGTATAGTCTCAAAAAGTGGTAACTAGAACTTATGTGATTTCGTGCAAAGTTTAACATTCGTCGCCTTTTTATCTTGTTTTTATGAACCATACTGTTACAATACATGAAAAGTCAGATGTTGATAGTTAGATGTTAAGGGTCGATCGAAAGAAAGCTACAGATCTAGGTTTCATGCTTGTCAGATCTCACCAGCAAGGTGAATCTTCGGTTTTTAGGAGATTCACATTTTATTTAGGGATAGACTTAGATCAGTGTTGAGCACTTAGGGACTGGAAGCTACAATGATTACGGCTCAGTGACCGATTTGCATGTCTAAAACCAACGCTTTGAGATTTGCAGCCAGAAAGACCCAGCTTATGAAGTTGAATTATTTACATTACCGATATCTGGTAAAATAACTCCTATAAAATGATTTTTAAGTGGCCCAATAGATGAAATCAACATCACTTTTACAACTGGCTTTTATCCCTTAAGTCACACCTTGAATGGAGAATCCCTGAAGAGAAATTTACGAATGACACTTAGATAAACTAAGAGTTATTTTACTAGGAAAAAATAACAATACACAAGAAAAGGGATTTCTCAAAATATTTTAAAGGTTCAGTAGCAGCTGGTATTGCTTGTATGGTTGTATACAAGAGTTGCTTCAGCATGAAAATACAACATTTCAAGTAGTAATCAACAAACTTGGAGCGATAAAATTAAACACTGAAGCATCGTGTGCAGATTGAGCACTTTAATATAGTCCTACAATACAGTCGGAAAAAGTGATTTGAAAGCTAATTTTTACAAACCTCCAAGACAATTTGACGCTTATATAGGTCTATCAATAAGAAGATATGTTCATAGTCTTTGAAAAATCTAACTTTAATTTGAGATTTAGAATTACACAGTGCAGACATCCACTACTTATATCAATAAGTATTAAAATAAGTAATAAAAATGTAGGAAGAGAAAAAAATATTGATCATAACTAAAAAACTTACTTGTTTTAGTACACCAGGTAGATCATTGATCCAGTGAAGACTATTATTTAAGAAACAAAACATAGTGACAAGATACGATATAAAAGGTAAATTTCTTAATTATTGAATAAATTATTTGGTAAAAAAGGCATTACATTCGTGCCAGGAGATACTAATTGTATAATAATTATGCTTAAAACCCTTATGAATACAATGACAGTATTAAAAGTAGAATTTTTGTAAGTTAGACTGGATGATGAAACTCTAATCATGAAATGAGATGAATTGTTGTACAAATAATCAGCTATCAGCTCAAAATTCTATATGAGACAAAAAGGAAATAGGAAAGTGTTTTAGAAGAATCATACCGAAAAAGGTTAGTAACTCATGAAATATATGATAAAAGTAGTGTTGAGTCATCTACGGTTGAGATCTGCGAAACACGCAAAGCAATTTTTTGTAGAGGTGATGATAGAAGTTTTTTCAAAGTCATCATGATGTTTATGTAGCCATTATTTTTGGTGAAGTAAATAAGTGGTGGTCATAAAAGTTAAAAGAATTCCTGGATGGTAACATAGCTTCAACTATATACCTTCGCGGTTACCAAGTGTGTTACAAAACACCACCACTGACCAGGTCTCAATTTGATCTCATTCACCAAGAGTTTTACCCGATTGTCATGTGAACGGAAAATACACGGACATACGTTAATCAGCATACTAAGTGCCCAATCATTTCTAAATTGAGTTCTATTACAGAGATGGCGAGGAGAAGGTAACAACTGATCGATTATTAGTATGATCTCAGCTAATATCGTTTTATCTTTATCTTACAATTATCCGAAACTTTGTATAATGTTACTGTGCAACCTTAATCTCAAAGTAAAGTGAATGTACACTCTTTGTAAACACTCGGTATGCTTAGGCTCTTTAGCATAAAGTGCAATATTCAAAGGCAGAACTTGATGAAACTCAAAGGAGAATACGCATTCGCTCATATTTTCATCGCCTCAATGATACAATAGGTATTTTCGTTTGATATATTTATCCTGTGTGATGAGAAAAAATCAAGCTGGATAAAATTTTAGAAATGTTCAGCAATGTGCACCCATTTTTCAGTTTTGTGCTCGAAGTAGAATGAGAATATAACCTTGCCTTCTTTGGCAAGAAGGAATCACTGATCATTTTAAAGGTCAATTCATCATAAGCTGGCATGGAATGGATAGTTGATGGACTCTTACAACCTTTTTCTGCAGAATACAAATAAGCATTTGATTACCTCTAACATGGTAAGGATTAATCAGTGAACCAGTCAGTATCACATATGCACAGCGAATAAACCGAATAAGGAATTTATATCCAATGTCACTTATTTATAGGAGTGAGGGAAAGAAGCCTAATATAATATGCGGTCCAACAGCAGTGAAAAGCTTATGATGATGGTTATGCACTGAATAAAAGCAACCTCAGAGTAGCTTGTCTGATTTAAGCAAGTTCTATTTTAACTACAACCTATCTAAACGAGTGATAAACACAGACAATCTATGCTGAAGCGTTGTCAATAACAATTACTTGATGCAACACAGGCCGCGATCATACGGTTAAAAAATGATCAGTTCGTGAAAAAGTTTTAAATCGTAGTTACAGAGAACTGTTAGGTTCTCTGTTAATACCAGCTGGCAAATTTATTGAGAAGAAGAATATAGTAAATTTTGTTGCGGAAAATATTTTGAAGATAAAGGTTGACTTACTAGTTGTTGTGGACAATTATAGATTGTTAGGAATGAAAATTCTAAGAAATCATCTAAATTAATGACAATTCTACACACTTATCATTACGTGGTTGAGGACTCTTGCTGAAATAGCTGGAAATCGCTCACAATGGTGCAGATGTATTCATTCCTTGATATCTAAAGCTTGAATATTTGTATTAACCCTCATCTTCAAGTTGTTTATTCACTCATACAACTTCGTCTACTTTGATATCAGTCTTTCGCTATCCCGCTGTTTTTTGTGTACTACTGTGAAATGTGGCAACTTGAGTCGATGCACTTGTGTCCGAGGTTTTATGTTGATTTTGTCTTTCTGTGTGTGTGCGTGTAAACTTGTCAATAAAAAAATTTGTTGATAAGATACTAATCTATTCAACAATGCACAAACGTTTCATTGATATATTTAATCATCTACATATTTGTGTAGTAAAAGCTGTGAGCCAGTGAGTGGAATTGGATTCGAACCTTAACTACAAAAGGCAAGCCAACAAATATAATTAGTAAATTATGAATATTTTCTAATTTAACTATTGTACAGCTGAGTAAATACCAAACACCATCACCGTACACACGGTTTGTTTATTCATTATTTCAATATTTGTATTCCTTCATGAATGCAAAAAACGTTTTCTTTTACTGCGGTTTCGTTATTTAGTACTAGGAGCTTTGCAAAAGTAATGGTAAATCGCAGTTTACACTAATCAGGCCTATACATGAAAACTAGATTAAAGTTTTTCCGCACAGATGATTCTGAATTTTCAATTGGTTGAAAACAACGGTGAATGTGAGTAGAGTAAAAAACAGATATTGGTTGGCTTGTGTTGACTACCGTGAACTACTTTCAATTCTTTTATAACTTTTAATTTTAAGGACACAACAGATATACATTACTGTAAACACTATGGTAAATACATGAAGATTAAATACTATAGTGTTGTATATGAGAAACGGAAAGCAAAATATTACAATACATACCAAGGGTATAAATACAAACAGATTTCTAAAAAACCAAAGTAACATCTTGCACAAAAGTGCATTACTACACAAAAGCATGGAACGAGAAAGCGAATATAAAAATGAATCATAAAGAGTATGTAGAACTGAAACTCAGCAAGTGAACACAACATCATACACCAGATAATGAGTCATACTCATTGCGTAAAGCTTATTGCTAGTAGCTCGGTCGCCACGACCTCGATAAGCCGAACAGCATACGAATTCATAAAGTGAAAATCAGACTCTTATCCAGACAACCCTTGAAATTTCCACAATATTATATCATGAATTATATTCCAGTTGTTAGCATGACTACTACCATTACTAAGCGTAAAAGATACACAACAGCTTGAATAACTTAAGAAAAACGCCTTAAAAGCATTGAGAAGAGTAATACGCAAAAAAATACTCCTATAACAAACGACGAATAGTGCTTTAATTCCAAATGATGCAATTAGATAAAACCAGCACAATAAAAATTACCTCATACAGCTCAGAACCAAATCTACAGTGTTTGGTCGAAAAGGTAAAATAGATTCAGGACAGTGAACGTTATGTGTGGGAACATCTGGAGATGGTATAGTCTGTTCCTGAAAAATAATTTAAAGGATAGCCACTAAATAACTAGAAAAAATGCTATAAAAATGTTACATTTACATAACAGGATATAGTTTATTATTGTAACATGTTCGATAAAAGAGCAATGGAATAAAGAGATGAGGAGGCAACCTGCTGATATGAAGAGTAGTAGCTTAAAACTTTTACACAGCAATGAGTATTCTGATTTTCATGAGATACGTTTGTAGCTTTGCAGTAATACAAGATGATGTTCTGTAGGCGTACAATTCGTTACAGAAAAACTAGAAATTTTATTTTTCCCTATATAAAGACAGTCCAACCTTCGTCTGCAAGGTTCAAAACAAATAGACTAGATTATCACTATCCCGTGATTAAACCACCAATAATGTCTTAAAAACGAAACATGAAGTATAAGACAGATGTATCTAAGTACAGAAGAAAGTTGTTTCATTTACATACCGTTCAATGACCCCCAGCTATTTCTAGATTATTATCAGGGGAATATCAATAAATAGTTTATTGTCATTAGAATGGATGAGATGATCAACACAGTCTATATAACAACAGATTTAATGGTGAAGCCATTTTGAAATCTAGTCAGAGTATATGGAGTGCTTTACAATAGACAAAAAAAGTTAACGGCATAAAGTTACTGGATTCAAGTGGTTACCATACCGGTGATAACAAGTGCAAACTTAATATAGGAGTAAAACTTAGACACTGTGGTAGATTGTAATTCCATTTTAGTCTGTTTATTAAAAATGTCACACAGTGAAACAGTATCATTTACTGGATAGTGTTTCGGACACAATTTATTGTCCATATTCATATCAGGTAACTCCACAACTTTGAGACAGAGTTTATATATTCCTAATTTTCTCTCCTTCTTTGTGATGACAAAGGTAGTTAAATTTTCCATATTACTGGGATAGGCGCAGAATCATTTATGTTACCGCATGTATTTGGTGCTGATTCAATAAACTAAGATTCGGTTATCCATCTTTCTCTCCACCCAACTAAGTTTTCAACACTGCTGCCCTATCCCACTCTACTGTGTGATGGTGTGTAATTGAGTGCAGAGCTATACCTGAGCTTTTCTCTAAATTTCTTACCTTATTAGGATCTACTAATCTTGATTTAGACAAGTTTTTGTACTATGTTATTCTAATCGAGGCTGGTCGACTACTTTGACCTATGTATTTGGACTCGCAACCATTGCAAGGGATTTGGCAAACCAGATTATATTGCTCAATTGTGTCGATAGGATCTTTTAACCCACAAAGCCTGTTTCTAAGCGGGTTTGTTGGTTTAAACGCCAGTCTAATCCCGGTCTTAATAACATCTGTATTACCACTACTACTGCTAATATTTTTCTTTCGATTTTTTATGAATTTATTTATAAATTTTGGTGGGTAATTATTGAAACGCAAGGTATTCTTGATGTATCTAATTTCTCGTCGTAGATTTTCTGTTCTACTAGTAAGTTTTTTCACCCTATCACTTAGGCATTTAACCTAGCCTACTTTAAATGAAATGGGGTAGGAGGATTAAAAGTCTAAGTAGCGATTCGAATGGGAAGGTTTCCTATAGACATGAGTCTCTAAACTTCCGTTTAGTGTTTGTTTAATCTTGGAAGCCAACATTGCCAGTTCACTTTCATCACTTTCTAAGTCACAGGTAAATTGGATTTCATTCTCTACTGAATTTATATGTGCCAAGAACCTACTGATGTGTTCCGATTTCAGTAGTGTAAACGTATCATTTACATGTCAGAACCATATCTTTGAAGTGCAAACTTATACGAAAAACTAACTTGTCTAAACTACGTAAACCACAAATAATAGCTAACAGAAGTTAACCAAGTATTCGACAGATGCCTAAAATGTTTACTGATATAGTTCACCAAAAGTACAAGAATCACACATTATATTTACATACTGAACTAATATACCACGCCTAGTTAACACAATAAAAGTTACATAACAAAACACGTTACTTACTAACGACTATATAAAGAACTTAAGAATAAAAAAGGGACATACCAGGATTTCGGACGAACTGTCCAGTTGGTAAAGAAAACCAACAGATTCAGATGTGATGAATTGAGACAAATGACCCCTACCGCAACCAAAATCCAAACCGACGTCAAATTTTCTGTGGAAATAGGGAACACAGTGATAAGCATTTCACATAAACAGTTTAAATCGAAACCTCAACTATTTGCTAGTTTTTCCATCATTAGATTTAGGTAGGTGACTAGTATGAAATTTATATTTGAAAATGATTTGTGACACCAAATGATTTTAACCAATTATTGGAAATTTAAAGACACCAAAAATCTATTTCATTTCACTGAGATTTCTCATCGATCCCACGAAACAGTTTGCCTAGAAGTTTTGGATAGTGCCAGCTCCTTTTTATTGGTTTCGTAACATGTCAGTTATTGATGAAAACTATCTTTCAGTCATTGAATACTTCACAAAATATTCAAATAACTGTCCAGTGTTACTGATACAGGCGAATGGATAGAGGAGAGTAATCTGAATAAGATGAATTCACATTACTCTGCTCAAACTGATGCTTCTACCCTATTCCGGTTTATTTCAAGATGAATGTCCACTGTAGAACTTACTAGCCAATAGCTTTGAAACGAACTTTGAAAATTAGCAATAAAACGCCATAAAGCCAAGTTAAAAGTGAAAGCTGGCGCTCAGACAATATCTCACAAATTCAAAGTGAAGGCCAGTAATGAAGACTCAGTGATGAAATATGAATACTATGATTTTGACTTTGCGTAGGATGTAGAGTGTGATGCTGAGTATCAGACTAAGGTGAACAAATTCTTGATTACATCCGGGAAAACAGATTTGAAGAGAAAATAAAAATCACAAGGAAACCGTTCAAAGTCATGAATTTTTACAATTACCTTCAGATACCTTCAAGGAAAATACACTTTTCTGCATGATGAGTGAGTTCCGCCTTAATTTAAATTTTGGCATATACACCAGTGGTATAAATGAACAGAGGACGTAAAATTTTCATTCTACCTCTTTATCTGCAAACACTGATATTACTTCATCGCTTGACCTTTGTGACAGTACCATTTTTAATTTATTTGACAACTATATTATGTATGGAATTATAATTATATTTGAGGACCATAATTTTGTACAAGCATAGGTTTAACAGTAGCAGCCAATTCCATCTAAACTAGCAAAATTACTATGTACATGAAATGCATGACAAATAAATAAACAGTCGGCTCAAAGTTCCCCCTTTACCGTCTGTTATATACATAACTGAACATCTAAAAAGAGAACAGCCTAATTGATAACAGAGGATAAACTTCGGAACAATGCTGCATAAATAAAAGAAGGATTATAAAGACGACGGGTGACTAATACATTGGAAAAATCGTATATGAATGCATTCGCCCTATTAAGATCTTCTATGATCCGTGTACTCAAGGGCTTTCAGATAATGGGAATCCTAGTGGACTCACATGAAGTCCCCTATGTGAACTTCATTAATAGAAAGAATACCTTTTGATGACTGTTCGAAGATTGCTTATGACCTACACCAGCAGTGAACAAAATAACGAGTCGAATTAGCAGATGAACGCAAACACACAAAAAGTACTCCCAACCAATGTTAGACATGGTTTTTATCCAATACACAAATTATCATAATGAGTTCACCAGATGCATTTACTGAAATAGTATTTCGTGTTAGTGGTAGAAAAATGTAATAACAGTCAAAATTTTCTTCATTTCTAGATTTAAACTCAGAAAATGTTAAGGACGGAAACACAGCTTAGCGACGATACAATGAGAAAGAATATTTAAATCTTGGCTGCTGTAATAAATAAAATATCTCCAATCTGCCATCTTATGCACATCTGTGCAGTAGGCAATGAGCCGCACCCATTGTGTGAGGGCTAGTGATACTAACTGGCTGCACAAACCTCAGTAAATGGAGCGGAGTTCGAACCTGCCACCCAATGGTTGATAGCTGCCTCTTTAAACTACTGAGCCGCAGCTTTACCAGAAAAATAGTAATATATCAAATAAGAGTAGAGTGATAGGTTGTTGGTCGCTGTGGTCTAGTGGTTAAGACATTGCATTGCAGCTGCTGTAAAGTTCAGCGTCTATTAAAACTGATTTTCAAGATTATAAGCCACTACTAACATTTACACTAACTTCAGTATGCTCTCTATCACAATAGACACATTAAAATGCACAACCAGGAATGACAACGTCACTGAACGGGGAAAATATGATACTTAGTACATAGCTGAATCTGATATAATGGGTACAGAGTTTTTATTAACCTGTAATTCTGTCAAATTTTAGAAAGAACACCAAAATTCTCACCAGAATATACGCATATCTACATGAGAGATAGTAAAATAGGACAGAAAAGTATTAAACTAATTTGCAATCATCACTAACAAAATCAAAAGGTAGCCAGTAATATGATGGTATTTGCACAAGTGCGGGTGAAAATGCCAACAACGATCAATCCATAATAACTGAACAAAGGATGATTAAACAATATAGTAAGAAGGTATAAAATTTAGGGTTACAATGTAATAGCCAGAGATAATATATTTGCCAGAAAAATCCCAAAAATTTTAAAGGAAATTACACGGTTTTTACAAAATTGGTTTGACGCCAGATTTCAATATGATGTGATTTCATCCGAAGAACCATTGACAGCTAAGGATCACTGGAAATCTATATCACACTAATTAGGCATCCCCTAGAAGTGCACAATTCGGTTCCTACAAGTTTTGGAAACTTGGACATTTAGACAGGATCACTAATACCCAATTAATAAGTGACTGGATGGGAAATCTACAGTTCACACCTTCAGCAGCTAGTTCAACTGATAATATACAGAGAGCATTGTCCATTGTCGGTGGTATTCATCCGTCGCCTCTACCGACTTTTTTGACCTCAGTTTTCTAACAAGTGAACTTCATTTGAAAACCACCCACTTATGAACAATGGATTGTCGTTTATTCAAAGTGACTTTAAAAAAGTTGATGAATTAAAAAATAATTTTTTGATCTACTCACTCACCTCGATGATAATGGTTCAATAACTTTTTGCTCTTATTTTACAAAAGTGATTTATTATTGTAATTATTTTTAGTTGATAGGTACATAAACGTGGTTAAGTAGTTCTCTGATAGTCTGTGGAGTTATAAAATTCACTTACGGCTACCTATAATGAAATATAAAGGGATGTCAGGTTTCAAGCAACAGCGGCACGTAAAAACGGATTAAATTCTTTCGCATATTCGACGTATGTAAGCGCCTTTATCTTACTTATTTTAGATTTTATTCTCAAGTGATTCGTATAACCTATTTACATAGGAAAATCCTAACTGCAAAGAATGAATTTGAAATACAATTCTGCTAAGCTAACCGCGACATTCTGAAACTACGCCAAATAGTTTCCTGATTCAGGAACTCACAATCGAGATCAAACCATGAAACGATGAGTTTACTTGCCGTTAGGGTGATAGCACTAAACAGAATAAAAATCAATTATAATTATAGTTGGCGTCTTGTAGCTTTACTAATAGGACGCCGGACTGATAATTCGGAGGTCGTTGGTTTGAACAATACCGTGGCGCCAGTTTTCCTTGCAAACTTCAATCATCGGCCCGTATCAATAATACTAGTCTGCTAAACGACACCTATCTCGAATATTCATATCATTGACAAAGTCATTACGGTAATTCAAATAATCCTGTTATCAGTAAATTGACTTGCCACATTAAGAATGCAAGTGAACAGGCGAATGAAATTCCGAGCTATTAAATAATACCATACATCACGTAGATTTTCTGACAAATATAATCCTATTTCGTAACAGTCATAAAAGCAGTTAATTAAGGAACCAGGTGGTGTTAAGTTTTGGGATTACTTTTACAGAAATCATTACGAGTTTGAAATAATGCAAATAGCTTTTTATTCAGATTACTTTTTAAAAACTGCACTACAGTGCTTGAAGAATATATTGTTGGATATATCGAAGCTCCACCATTTAAGTAAGACAGAGTGCAGAAAATACCAGTCTGTTTCAGAAACTAGAATATGAATCAGCCGAATATGTAAGTAACTCAGTTAAAGGATACACTTACTGGGAAATACACCAAACTTTGCATATAACATTTTTTTGTAAGGTAAATGGATTTCTTCGCAAACTATAAACACCTCTTTTGTGCTTATCAAACTACAGTACGAAATATGTCCCTTAATGCCTGAGCCTAAATACAACTGATACACACTGAAGGTCGGACTTTATCACAAATTGACAGTAGGAAAATATGGACCATTAAATTCCACTCCAGAGGCTCCATGATAACCTGCTGGCCGCGGAACCTGAAGGTCCTGGGTTCGGTCACTGACAGGATCATGGATGCACACTGCTGAGTCCCGTACTAGGACGAAACAGTTATCAGTGCTCCCAGGTTTTCAATGGTTCTCTAAATAATATCAGCTTGAAACCAATAAATCCCTACAAACCTTCAAACTGAATATACTGAAAGCAATAGAGAAGTTTGATTAAAAAACGTACCAACACTGTATTTTGTTTAAAGAGGTACTTTTCACCATTTTAATGCTTATTTTAGCAATAATAAACAATGTTTTATTGACCAGAATATCGTACACTATTTACTATAAAAGAAGTTGCAATTGAGATATCCGTTAGAATTTCAGTATACAATACTAAACACGAGCGATTGAAAAGCCAACAAGAGGATACGCAGATTCTACTAGCCAGATCAAAGTGTTCTACACTTTTTTCTACAACTCACAGAACCTAAAACTGGATATAACAAGCTAAAAGAATTGGATAGTCGCTCTGTAAACTGCAAGATTCATGTAAATACTTCTCGTATATGAATGAATTTCAACCTCTGTTGTTTCAAATTACTACTGCTTTCATCACATAACGCAATAACAGCATAAATTTATGAAACAGACAGATTCCAAAAAGTTAAAAGACATAAAATAAAACTGAAAATACTTCAAGAACAGTATCATCATTGAAAATAAGATTTAACAGGCACCTTGATATATCACTTAAGCGATCAGCCAGTCGACTAGCAACATCCTCACGTATATAGTCATATATATGTGGGTTTTCAATGAGTGCTGAACGAGCACGTTGTTTTCGTTTGACGAACTGATCGAATATCAATTTTTGACTAGAAAACTCAGATTTGTGTCCAAATCTAAGGACCACTTGTTTGCAACAGCACCCACCATTATTAAGTACCTATAATAATCGTGAAAACAGTGGTTTAGTAGTATATATCCACACCATCTGGTGACAATCAATACAAAATTTGACGAAAGAGTGAGTCAATTCAAGCCGCTTTTTTTTATCAGTTGACTAAAATAATATTGAAAATTTCGAAAACGGCTTCTGACTAGATACTTTACAGGCATCGCCATAACATAACAAGAGGAAACAGAAGCCCACTGTAAGCTGTAAAAATAGTGTTGGATTGATTAAGAGTATAATGACAAGTCGTTGGTATTTCAAAGAATAAGTACAAAAAGAGATACTTGTCGGTTTAAACTATAATAATGAACACTTCAAAGTGGGGGTTTTTGTAACCTCAGGAGCTGCAATCACTAGGTAGGTAGTACAACAAACAAATAATCATTTCCATGGATTGTTATGCATTTTTACCGACTATACAAGAACTTTTAGTCTTAGTTCTACCGCAAGGAACATGACACGGATAGAATTAAGTTCCTTATTAAGTACATAAACATCTCATTTACTTTAGTCAATTCGCACTAGTACTAATAAACCAATTAGATTATTGATCTTTTTCGGTTTTAATTCGGAATCGCTTAGGGGAAAACTGGTTAAATAGTCATTTATCAAATAACTATTTCGTTGCTTTTATTAAAAACTTAAGTCTAGCTTCATGACCCAAGTATTATCACTGAGTACAACTACCATTCAGCATTTTACCCACTTCAGATTCAAACAAAGATAAAAATCGAGCCTTGAAGCGAATTCCTCTGTTCAAATAGCCTTAATATTTCTAGGTAAAGTACATAGAAACAAACTGATATTTATGATGTTAGTGATTACATAAGGGGATCTAAATCTGGTTAAATTCACTTATAGTATGTATTCAGTGTCTGTTTACTGAGTCCAGAAATTTTTTGTGCTGAACTCATCAGCTGAAAGAAGACTACTGGTAGAAGCCACATGAAACAATCCCTGCTGTTGATCTAAAATAGGACTGAAGAACTAGAAAGACAAATTTTCACATCTGAGACGGGTAGGCAGGGAAGAAAATGAAACATCTCTGGGTTTCTGTTACTTACGATCTGCTTTATAGTTCCAAAAGTGAAACTACAAAGGATAACTTAATTAACTGATTATTCTGTGTTGATTCATCATCACACTGGACACCCATTTTTCCGAAATACATACAACTTTCTAAAATCACAAGTACATATTTCGGGTGGACTAAATATCGAAGCTGATACATAGGAACAACGCAAACACAACACTACAATCTGGAATGAATTACACTTTATATCATTTCTGCTATAAATCATAACTGAGTGGAGTCATAGCTCAGTGACTTAAACATCCCGAGTTTTCTACTGGATCATGGGTCAAAACTGCACTATACTTAACATGGATCGAAAAACCGGCTAAAACCAAGCAAGTATATATTTCGGCGTCAAACACTGATGTGAACATAAAAAGGCACACTTAACAGAACACCAGAAAAAAGATTATTTACGAGCATACTGGCAGATATTTAGTATCATAACAAATATATCAAAATTTTCCTAAAACTTTGAAATACGTTGTCATTTTGAATATCCCTTGACAAGCGAAACCAGTAGGTCGAGACTCTAGCTGATATAGTTCATAACCAATCGTTGTGAAAAAGTGCATTCGTATATTGTCATCTCAGTTATAATATCACACTTCATTATTTGTTTAATCAACCTTTTCTTGTAGCATGACTTCCTACAACCTTAGGTGGAACCATTGACATTTCCCTTTTTCACATCTTGCTACCTTGTTTCTCAATGTGTTGATGTGAGATGGTAACTTTAACTTTCAAGCAGTAATGCTAGGTCTCATAATGATACTGACTGCAATAAATGTACTGAACTGTTGCATAAAGATTTGCTAGACAGCAAAAATACTGTCTACCTAGTTACTTATTCTTCAGTTAGGAACTGGATTTTTGTAAGGTGAATGATTCTCATGGCTAAATATCATTGCAAGTAACTAACTGCATGATTTGCTCAGTAATCTTGCCAAAGAAGTGTTCAACACAATGTCGCATGTAAAACAACCTCTTGTTTCGAAGCAAAAGTGTAAGCCGTCCTGAAAGCTGTTTTAATAACCCGTTATGCAGCAAAAAAAGTCAGCATTCGTGAACATCTATGTAACTTCTTAAGGCTTTCATAAGCATTTGATACGTTATATCGTAACTCATCGTGGTGTTAATCCAAATGACTCGCAAATTCTTCAAATAAATGACCATTAGCTGAATTTTACGATTCATTGCAAATTATTTTACGAAACGTTAAATTTAATACCATAAAATCCTTTTCTGAAAATTGTGACCGTAAGTCGTTATCTATTACTAAATTATTTTCCTGACTCCTCAGAAAATTGTGCCTTATTCTACACAATGAAAAAGAGATACTGTAAGCTCTTATCAAAGTCTACAATTCTGTGGAGTCGGGCGTAGGGGAATAAGTGTTGAATTTAATAAGAAGTGTTAGGTCAGATCGAAGATTTCACTATATTGCCTCCCATCTACAGCTACATGTTTCCACTTCGTATCTTATTTTCTGATCATTTTCCCTATAAATGACTCTCAGCGCCACGTTATGCTTTGAATATGACATAGGTTCCGATGTCGACTAGGGAATATGTTCACTAGGTTATCCATTGAGAAACAACAGGGAACTCAACTGCTTCTATAAATTAGCCTAAAAGTTGCAATTTTTTATTTTGCTCTGATTTTCCTGGTTGCCATTTGAAAATCATATCCTGTTAACATTTTCGTAGGGCCATTGTGTTCAATCACCAAAACTTATTCTGCATTTCCACAGGGGAATTTGAAAACAAGCGTGATGAACTCGTGGCTATTTACCGAGCGTAGGGTAAATCAAGCAATTATTGTTATTTATTTGAAACACAAACTTGGCACGACATGGACACCAAGAAATGTGCCATACAAATGATAAAGTAGCAACAGGAAGACGTAGCAAACGAAACGCGGCGTCAAAAATCATTTGGTCCCACATCACTCGCAAGTTGTTAGTAGGTTGAAGGAAAATAGAAAGATTTTCAAGAAAGAAGAAAAGTCCTGTTTATGTTTCATAAAATATCAACTACTTTGGAAAACATATCTCACGAAATTTTATAAGTCTCATCATCCACATATAAAATGATAGATGATAATACCTGTGATAAGGCAGCTTCGACAGTAGAATCACCGATTACTGAATTATTTTTCTTTAAAACTTAAGATCCGAAGATTAGATATAAAGGTGTACATCATGGCATTGTATTTATGGTTTATAATCGTAAATTTATGACCAATTATTTTTCAAGAACCTTCAAAGACCGCGTTGCAGGGAACAACATAGGTATTTTCCATATTGAAGATATATATATATATATATATATATATATATATATATATATATATATATGAGGTGCGTACAGGAATGTACTCCAAAAATTTTTGAGTGCATGCACATATCTGCCACATACCTAGTACCGTATTGAGTACTGTGTAACTTAATAGACGAACGGCACTAGCACTATGTAAACTGCGCTCATGTACAGACTTAAAAGACTGAATGGGACCATTCAACACAATTTGGCGATTTCTAACTGATCACACGAAAAAAGACATAACGGAGCCAGTTGAAAGAACTTTGAAGAGGAAGTTAATAGACGTAGCAACCTACAATGAGCTTAAACCACGTGGATCTCGGTTACCATATTTGTATAGCCTGCCGAAAGTGCACAAACCTAATGTCCCTATGAGACTAATGCTATCAGTGGTCAACTCATCATTTCGCAAGCTTGCCAGATGGTTGACAAAACATTTAGAACGTGTCCGCGTGAAACTGGTCGTTTGGAGTCTGAAAGACACCTTAAAATGTGCAGAAATGTTAAAGGATCTTAATCTCACTCAGAACTCATGGTTTTTTATGCATCATTTTTATTTACTAAGATACCACTGGGAGAGACAGTAGATATCATGTCAGTATCCAAAACTGCTCCCACTTCCAAAATATGAACTTAAACAGCTTCTACTCATGTGCACAAAGAATGTTCAATTTCAATTCAATTCAATAACGTCCTACACCGTCAAATCGATAGAGTCGCCATGGACAGCCCTCTAAGCCCGGTCTTTGCTGATATCTTTATCGGAAGTCTAGAACAAACAAAACTGAAATATGCAATTAACCAAACAGCATTCTACGAAAGTTACGTTGACGTTACATTTGTTGCATGCATTAGTGGTGAACATGCCTCTCACATATTGAATAACTTTATTGAAGCGCACTCGAATATAGCATTCACAATGGAAACTAAACATAACAAATCTCCCTTCCTAGACCTCTGCCTACAATGTTACACAACAAGAAAGATTCATAGATACGTTCATCAGAAAGACACGTAGAGTGGGCTTTATTTAAACCTCAACAGCTTTTGCCCAATAAGTTACAAAAAATGTCTGGTAAGAAAGTTTTTCAGCCATACGCGTGAACTATCCTCTGAATAAAAAATTCAGTAAAAACTGACCTGTATTGAAAACTCTACGCAAAAATGGTTACCCGCAAAAGTTTATTGACAAGTACGCTAGGACAAAAGCGAAGAGAATTAAGTGCAATACAATCGACAAAAAGATCGTCTATCTACACCTTGCTTTCAAAGGGGATGTAATCTCCATACGGATGAGTCATCGGTCGGGTGCTGTAATAAAAGGAACATATAGAGCCGCCAAGTAATTCTATGCGTATAAGACCAATTGTTAACTGGGACAGCCCAAGTGGGCTAATTCCCAACTCTCGTTACCTCTAGCTGCATCTACCAATTCACATATACGTCCCAAAGCACATACATCGGAAGAACGGAGAGGAGGGTTCTTTTGCACATTTCTGAACATATCCCGAAGAATTTGAGTCTTAAGGGTTCACTGGGTTTAAATAGTGCAACCGCATGGTACTGCTTCACATAGAACACAAAGTCGATGTACTAGTCACTCAAAGTAATCAATAAACAACTGAAATCCACTCTTTTTCTGTTTGCTGAAGCAGTTGAGATTAAAATACTTAAACCTGATCTATATATTCAGAGAGATAGTGTTGTCAATCTTGCATTCACTTGGTAATTTTAATCTCCTAAATTTGTAAATGCAAGATTTAAGGGCCCTTAGTTTTTCACTTTATTTTTCGATCTATTTTACAACGTACTCTTACTTTCTGAGTTGTATTTATCTTATTGGTCAATATAATGAAAACCTGCTGACCGTTTATCACGTTTCCTCAACCATGACGTCCTTTTTTATCAATTCTAGAATAACTGTACACAACCTTATATATATATATATATATATATATATATATATATATATTGGCTGTCTATAGAATATTCATTTTGCTACTGTACGAATAGTTGGCGTTTTATGGTGTTAAGGTGCTCTTAGTTAGGTTAACGGGAGCGCTAACCAGTATATGGCAATCAAATACGATCCCCTATGACTGGTCTAAATCACTGATTATCTCAGTCTTCAAGAAAAGCGAGAAGTCCTCTTGTGATAATCACAGAGGAACCAGCCTGACAAACATAGTGTCGAAGATTCCAGGTTCCACAATTCTTCGACGCCTGAGTGGAGCTCGGGAACAGCAAGCCTGAGAAATCCAGGCAGGCTTTAGACCCGGTCACGGGTGTATTGACCAAATATTCACAGTGCAGTAGGTTTAGGAGCACAGACACGCTTACCGATGCCCGACACTTGCTGTATTTATCGACCTCAAGGCGGCATTCGACTCCGTCGATCGAAAAGTCGTATGGCAATGTCTCTCACTGAAAGGCGTACCGAGTAGGTGCATCACCTTATTGAAAGCTCTCTACTCGAACACTTGTGGGCGTGTTAGAGCCTATAGTGAGATGTCCAGGGAGCTATGCTCATCGAGTGGTAGCTGTCAAGGGTGCCCACTGTCTCCATTCCTATTCAATATCATAGACATTCTTATGGAAGTCTCCCACTCGTCACATGATTATACAGAAGTTTACCTAATCGTAGGAGAATCTTCGTTAGACCTAGAATATGCAGATGACATAGTCCTATGAGACGAAGACGCTGACAAGATGCAGTCTTCTGAACATTTTGAGTGGGAATTTGAGAATGTTTGGGATGCGTTTTTCATCACTCGACTGCAAATTGTTGCTCCAGGATTGGTCTTCAACAGCCCTTTGGCTAACAGTAGAGAGTTTAGTGGTTGAGTGTGTTGACCACTTCACTTACCTGGGAAGTAGGATCAGCCCTGGTGGCTTAGTGGCCAGTGAAATCTCTGCACGGATACAAAAAGCTCGGCTGGCTTTCGCCAATTTACGTCACCTACGGCGCCCCCGTGATATCCGATTGTATGTTTAGGGTCGCGTGTACTGCACAGCAGTTCGCTCTGTTCTACTGTATGGCTGTGAAACATGGCCGTTGAAGTGGAAGATATGGGAAGGCTTCAGATGTTTGAGCACCCTTCTTTTCTCTCTTCTCGTACTTTATATTTCTTTTGACTTAATTTTCTTATCTTCATCTTGCACCTCATTGCCTTTTTACTTGATGTACTGGTATGAGGTGTGGCAACTACGAGGGTTACGCAGTAATGCCTGGTCCTATTTTGATATTGGTGATGATGATACACTTTGAATGGTCTAAACGACTTCGTCAATGACAGTCAACCTAAATCTTTGTTACCTTCCACCTGAATTCGAAAAATTCTAGTCAATTTATTAAAGTACGTTGTATAACATGTTGTTTATCATAAACAGTATATCCTGTAGGTTTTAAAGCGGCTGAAGAGAATCCTAGAAATATGTGAATTTTAATTCTGCTATTGTCCTTCTAGCTTTATTCAAATAAACATGCAAGTTGAGTGACATGTGACGAATTCAGTCAGGTCACACCAGATACACGCGAGCAGCGATGAGCGGTTACATGCCTACTTTGGGACAAGAAAGGATACAATGGGTAGTAAGGTCGGTATAACCCAGCGTATCTTACGGATAAGTGATAAACAATCATCGAATGCTTCGTTGATAAAGATTGCAGTATTCTCATCACGTTTCGAGAAGATGAAGTGAGCAATACATAGTTAACGGTTTCGCTTAGTTTCAATAGTTTTGTCCTTTACTTCGGTTTTAGGACTTATATGAGTCAAATAGTATGCGAATGTGGCATTGGGAAAACGAAAACGGAAGATGAACCCGCAGCCAGTTGCGGAGCAAAATATAGAAAAATGCGAACTGAAAGAAGGGTAAAATGAGAGGCTGACTTCACAAAGCGAGACGAGAAATTCAGGTCCAAAAAACTAAGCAGCAAGGCAGAGAGAGACAGCAAAACAATCATTTTGCCTCACATTTTAGACGCAACATTCTTTCCATGACGTATCGCTTTGCCAAGAGAACATGTTCACTGGTTAAGGCACAAGACAAAACAAAGAAAATCAGGACGTTTTACATAATAACTCATTGTTTAGCTTCGCGCTAAGCAAGCGGAACCCCTCGCAATTAGATTTTACTACACAAGAATACCGACGACAAACGTTTACTAACACTTCCGCATCAGTAAAGTCACACTCGTGGTTCCATGTGGTTAGTGATGCAACATAAGCTTTCACTTAACTGACTTCTGCATTTGGAACCGGCAGATCATTAGTTCCTGGGTCTGAAAACCTAGTTATGAAAACAAGGAATAAAGAAAAGAAGGGGAAGGTCAACAGTGACTGAATTTGTGAGCTCGTGCTGCGACCATAAGTGGAGACTAGCTTTGTGCTTGAAGGACTCTAATGATGCAGGTTGAATAACATCCACTGAAAGACCATTACAATTTTTTCCATTTATTGGGGAGCAAACATTACATCAGATGACCGTGCTACTATTTTCACGTCCTAACTTCTGAGTGTTCCACCTAAGATTCATATTGTAGTCTGACTTCGCCAAACGCTGAATCGGGTGACATGAATTGCTTGGAATGTCACACATTATTATTAAGTCGCCATCGAATAAAGATCAAGTGTTGCCAGACTTTACTCGCAAGGTTTAGAGCTTAGTCCACGGTCTGATTGAACAAAGAGCCTTAGGCTATATTTCGGATGTTCTTTATCTTTTCGAAGTGGAGAAGGAAAGACTTTATTTACAAACTCTAGATGAGGCCAGATGAAATTCCTAAAGACTTTGTGAATACATTTCACAGATGTAGACTTATGATAAAACTCCAAAAAAACTGGTAATAAGTTTGCGAAAATTAAGTCTGCACAGAATCCGTTTGTTGTTTAGTCAACGTACTACGAAAGGTAACGCGTGAATCAGATCTCAAGATTCTCTCCATCGAAACTGTCAAGCGCAAACTATGGAGCTCTATATATTTGGGTTTGAACGCATAGCACATATCATATTCAGACAGAATAAATTCATGAAATCACCACTTGGTCAAACTCTCTCATCAATGAGAAGGAGAATTCACATTTATAATGGAGAAACATATAAAATATTTGCACGGACAGCTGACCTTGAAGAACATATTTTGGGCGAAGTTGCCCTTGACATCCAATATCCAATATTGTTCGTGTGAGCTTCGAAAACTGATAGTTTTTGATCTCTCACGTCTAGTTCTTAGGGCTTGGTTAGAGCCTTTCGGTTAATGACCTGAATTAGATTAGAGTTGCTCTAAAAACAAAAATTCTCTTATTTCTTCTAAACCTCCCATCCTAATTTCCTTGACGAGACTTTAAAATTTACTGTCCAAGTACAACATTCAAATTTCACGATCACTGTCTTAACTTTGAAGTGTTTAAACTAGTTATACTAACTTCAACAAACCATCCAACATTGATAGGATTGTGGCAAGAAACCGATAGCTTTTGGTCCCTCGTACCCAGTCCTTGGGATTTTTTTGTGTTGTTCGGTTTGCTCCTGCAGTGGACAAATAAATTGTTTCTGGTTGTACCTCTAGCGAAGCAAATGGTTTCCGAGTTGGTTATTGCAACTCGAAAATAGACCAGGGAGCTATAGGTTGCCGGAAGGATTAGAGGTACTCAATAACTTTTGTCAAAGAATGACTTCCTCCCAAGTCTCACGGTTGGCTTTGTTGCTAACCTTCCGGTTTCCTCAAAGTGTCAGGGGTGCCTCCATATTAAAGACACCCAGGTGTGGATGTGTGTAGGATTTGGAAACTATGAAACAGATAGGAGGTGCTATCCAAACCATCTCCGCAGAAAGTGTAAAGTGGCGTCCGCTGTGGTTGCCATTTCTTTGAAGTTGGATCTTGAGTCAGGGTGTCAGAGAAGTTGAGCCCCAAGTCCGTTTCCATGGGCACCTTGATGATAGCACGGTTACGCAAGTCGCGGTGGAATTCAGTCAACAATGATTCACGGGCACTGGTGTGCGGTACCTCACACTTTTCCAGATAGCCGCAGGTCACCTTGAAGTGCTGTACAGCCGGCAATTCGCCTGCCACCCTCCAAAGTTCAATGTCCTGAAAGAAGAGGAGGATGGGCGACTGGATTCTGTGCAAGAGATCGTTGATAAACAGGAAGAATAGAAGTGGTTTCATGGTTGCTGTCTGGGATACCCCAGACGTTGATTGTAGCCAATTCCACTGTATTACTTTCACATCAGGCAAGAAATATCTGCCTTCTAGGTACACTTTGAACTAAGAGTGGAGGCTCGCTTATTCAGGCAGACGCGATTTGGCGAAGCAAAGTTGTGGGCGAGAAACTGTCAAATACTTTGGCGAGATCTACAAAAACATGCATTGCTTTTCTCATAATTTATATTTATTCCTGAATGTACTGGTTTCTGTCGTCCCACCTAAACGTTCAGACGTCCCCAGCAGCCAGTACATTGATGCAACATGAACGACGACTCCGAACGCCATGCTGAGCAGTTTCGATGTTTCGTTCCCTATCGAGTAGTTATCTGTCCCGTCAGAAAAAAAGCCACCAATTACTTGTGACAGTTAAGGGAGTAGGTTAAAAAGTCCGTAACTACTTGAACATATGCAATATAACATGAGCACAAATACTACCATGAACATACTGTCACAATCACAGGCTTGGTATTCAGGGTAATAACTGCATAAATATGTAGAGCAACAAGTAAACGTCTATCAAGTATGAAGTCATAAACCGTCAAGAGAAAGCCAGTTTTCAGATGATTTCAGATAAACCTTGTTGATGAGTTCCAGCCAGCTCGAGAACGAGTACTGTGGATTCCTGCTGGTAGTCTCTTAACATCCGGAAAACTTCGTAGTTAAACTACTCTCATAGACAATAATCAACGGCTAAATGACTAACTCCCACTAGACACACTCAATAGCTCTCATAATCTAGAATAGGATCTGTTTCTAAGTTAAATGTTTGAAAGCCTTGTGCAGATAGTAGTTGATCGATGACTTATAGAGATAGGTGAAATTAGATAACCGCGCTTACGATAGCATTTGAATTACCAGCCTCGTGGAGGCTCGTACAGCTGCCAGATGGGATGCAAAAGTCAACTGGTGACAGAGTTCCAGTTCCCTCCACTCTCTAATACTTCACCTAACTCTAATATTATTGACAGGTAAGTAAATAAATGGTGGTCCTCCATCCTACCAGCTGTTCAGTCTGATCTCTTCATTGAAATCCACATGGAGTTGAAATAGAAGAACAAAGTGATCGAGTGATCGACTGACAGTTGAATCAACTCTCTGATATAGCAGTAATTAGGTATCATATTTTTCAGATGGACCTACGATTATTGTTGCTTTAATTAAGATTAGGTGACAACTAAGTTAAGTGTGGCTATGCCAAGATATGTTTGCAACACATGAAGTCTTTGCATGATGATCTCAGCTGTGAAGAAATGTGAAGAATACCTGAATGGATACTGAAGACATTTGGAATCAATGTTTTGAAGATGTTTATGGCATGGCTCGAAGTCGATCACAGTTGTGTACATGTATTAACATGTTATCATCTTTATCGAAATTCTAATGGGCGAAATGAATGCCAGACTGAGAGTGGACAACACAGGAAGAGAATCAATCATGGGCCGAGAAGTGCTCAGTGAAATGAATGCAGATGGAGGACTGTTTGCAGACTTCTACACATTCAACGATTTGGTGATTGGATCTCGACGAACACATGGAAGCTGATATGGAACTGAGTCGAAGATGGTGAAGCAGAAGATGAAAGAGTGCAGTGTGAGGGTGAACAACGAAAAGAGGAACTGAACACAACCCATGAAACACTACACTGGACAAAGATGTGATGACGAGTGCGTGCAAAGACAAAAGACACTTCTACGACACATTGGCAAGTGAAACATAACAGGCTTAAGGTGGAAGAGACAAAGACCTAACAACATTATATCGAATAACCAGGCAACTATTTGGGAGGGAAGAGATCAACGCAGATGAAACCAATGACAGATAGTGAAGGAAAGCTGGTTACTAAAGAGGAGAAACAAACGAAACAATGGGCTGACCACTTCAAAAACTCTTGAACCGACCACCATCACCCCCTGCAACTCGTCCAGAAATACCACCAACAACGGCAGAACTACCAGTGAACACAAGCCCTCCAACAGAGGCAGAAGTGAAGTCCTGAACGCCATAAAACTGCTGAAATCGGGAAAGCAGGAGGACCAGATGGAATTCCACCGGAAGCACTGAGAACGTGCAGAGACAACGGCGGACATGCTCACACCACTATTGCAGAAGGTTTGGAAGCAAGGAAGGAAGGAAGGAAAGGTACCTGCCGATTGACTGGAATTAAGGCTACCTTGTCAAACTTCTAAAGAAGGGAGACCTAAGTCTTTGCAAGAACTGCCAGGGAATCATACTGCTGCCCACCCCAGGCAAATTATTATGCCGCATCTCACTGGAGAATTGAAAAGATGCTCCCAATCCAAAATACCACCGGAATAGGCTGTTTGGCCAGGTTTTGGGAAGCCAGATCATTTGGGGCCCGGAATGCAACGCTTCGCATCATCATGTAACAGAGCATCGGGTGGCGGTCAAATGTTCCCCTCAACCTAATCGACTGTGAAGAAGCTTCGCTTGCGTCGACCAAGAAGTTATTTGGCAAGTGCTTCAACATTTCGGAATACCGCAAACCTTAATTGACTTCATTCAACAGGTAAGTGAAGACGCCTCGTGCCAAGTGACTCACAATGAAAAGCTGTGGCCCATTTGAAGTGAAGACAGAAGTAAGTCAGGGTTGCCTCTATCACCGATTATCTTCCTGATTGCGGTCGACTGGATCATGCAGCAGACCCTGAGGAGCAAGAAGAGGGGCATACGCTTTTCCACGTATGAAAAGACCTCGGAAGATTTGGATTTCACGGACGACTTATGACTAATGCTACACAGACTAGAATGTCTACAGGCGAAAACCAACAGGTTGGCAGAGGGGGCGAGGCAGTGAAGATGGGACTTGCTTCAGGTGACGGTAAGAAAGACGGAGGTGATGAAGATACTCAGCGAACAGAAACAACAAGAAAAGAGTTTCCAACAAACTGATGACATACATCGACAGCTGCTACCTGCGCTTGATACACACGCTTCAGCGGTGTCTTAGTCTTGACCATCAACTTTGTGAAAGAGGGACTAAGATATGTAAACCTATGGTGCAACACTCGGCAACTCGAGCTTAACACAGAAAGTGTGGCTGGATACGCACGGGTAGCTACGCAACTCAATTTAACGATAGCTGGGCATTCACTCCCAAAACTGAAGTCTACACAACACTCAAGGCTGCGAAATCCCCTCAACCTAACGTTCCCTGAGTACGTATCCACACAGGCGTAGAATTCACGTTGACCGGCAGGTTTCTTTTCAAGGACCTTCTACAGTACCGAATGCATAGTTATCCTGTATAAAACATGCTTCCGGCCACTGCTGGAATGCCGCTCATTTACCTGCGGTGGTATACGGGTTACGGGTAACCTAGAAGTAGAAACAGTGTAGAGGTATCTTACAATGGGAATACTCAGCAAGAATAATGGCGTAAAATATACCAACAGATGCAACATGCTAGTACTTTGGCCATTGCAAAAACGAAGTCTCAGACTGAACGTGATTTTATCTTACAACCTTTTTAACGGACTGACTTGTAGTACACGCATAGACATGTGGTTTATAAGTAAAGCTGTCTGTGGGCTAAGAAACAACGTAACAATGAAAGTTGATCATTTTCCAAGCAGTTACCAGGCCAAACTTCTTTACGATAAGACATTATTAAATATGGAATAGTCCAACTGGAGAAGCACCTGAATTAAACACTTTAAAAGGCGCCTTAGCTCCACACTGCACAACTGTGTTCCAAAAAGTACCACGAGTACTGCCACTTAAACTACGCATATAATGAAACCCTTTAGTACGCAAGCGATTTCCAACCAAGATTATGAAGACGGTGGACCATGCTGAAAACTTATGAAGTTACCTGGAAATTTCAGAACCTAAAGAACGAAGGATGTGAGGAAAAACTTCGGGAATCCGCGTCATAAAGATGAGCTTCAGTAATGACAATAAGATCAAGTGAGGGATTTGTGTTGACAGTTCTCACAATTCTATTGTTTCTCAAAGGGACTAGTTCCATCTGTGGCTCACTATCAAACTCATTGAGCAGGAGCAGAGGGCAAAGTGGCAAGTGTCCGAAGTATTAGGCCGACATGGGGGTTGTTTCCCCCTACTTTCCGCTCTTCGACTTCATCGAGTCTTTGATTCCTCTGCCACTGTTGAAATTATTTTTAAGTTACCACTATACCAGTCCAAAATAGTAGATG